ATGGATCTTCTCAATTTTGATAACTTTGAGATGTAATTAACTAATTCTAAAACTTTAAAATGAATTCGCTAACAGTGTATAAACGTTGGGATGTATAACTATTATTCCCTAACCGTAAAAGCATGACAAATTGGTAGTTTCACATTCTAATACGTTCCTTTGTTTTAGTCCGGCCGATATATCCTCTAAATGATCCCAAACCATAACCAGAACACTTGTCAATAGCCTGCAGTATTAGTCCATCTCAAATAATTGGGCTTATGCTTTTCATGTTGGGTCAATTGGGAATAAGAGTAAGGTACCTTGTTCATTCGACCAAGAAAAATTATTTTTGTTAATTTTGAGAAATTTTCATGCTAGTTTTTTATTTAAAAACAACGGTATGGATGATGAAACAGGTTTAGTGAAATCAAATTGTGTCTAATCTAATGTGTCCATTTGAACTCTAATTGTAATTTTTTAATCTACAGTGTAATTCAATATTTGAAATCATTGTTCCGACTAATTTAGAAAATGTGTGTTACACTCAATTCCACATTCGGGATTAAAACTTGGGTTATTTTAAAATTTCTTATATTTTTACCACTTGGATTCTGGATGACTTTTCAAGATAGGTGAAAGTAATGAGTGACAGAACTTGGTAGTTTTGACTTTTCGGTGGTGGGATGGTTGGGGTAAGACATCTATGGTATCAGTATCATTGAATCAACGCAGTTATCATAATATGAGAGCTACAAATTTTAATTACTCTTAGTTGTATCTTTTGTTCAATACTTTCACTATTGAGTTACCCACCTTAACGCATCAAATTGGAAAAAAAAACAAAGGAAAATCAAAGGAAGCAACACCGGAAGTGTAGTAGTATTAATCTCATTAAACAACTGTCTTTAATCCCTTGAGTACTTAATTAATAATAATCCAATTAATTAAATAAATTTATAACACGTCGACCGTTAAGAGTTAACCTACATGAAATAAAACCAACCCACTTTCATTGCTTTGGCGGGTTTTAACATTTACCGCCAAAGCGGGAACTTGATGTGAATGTAGCAACACTCTGCGGGACCACACGATCACCTCATCGTACAACCAATAAGATTATGCCAGGTTGCGTATGATTCCAAACATGGTTTACGTGGCAGTTTAACCAGAAAGAACCCTTTTTTTTTTTTTCTTTTTAATAAGGGCTAATGCGTCATCACAGAAGGAAGGATCACACCTGATTCCATCCTCATCAAAAAGGGGGTAAAAGGATCGATCAACTTCAACAACTCCCCTGTTTCACTCGCACACAATCACACGTTCTCTCTGGTTCCTTCCTCCATTAATTTATATAAACAAATTTAACCCCCCCACGAAAACCAAATTCTCACTTGTTAGAGCCCCTTTTCTCTCTACTCGAACATCATCGATATCAACCAGTTGAAACTGAACTTTTTCCTTTCTTTCAAGGTTTCAGAAGGAAGAAAAGACATATGGGAAGAGGGGATTTAGAAGCGGGGGAAGGGAAAAACAGGGGAGGTGTCCCGGATTATGCAGTTTATGAGGAAAGAGACACACAGTGGACATCATGGCTGATTCCGGTGTTTATTGTGGCCAATATTGCTATGTTTGTGGTGGAGATGTATGTCAACAACTGCCCAAATCATGTTAGGCAAGGGTTTGGCGGCAACGACGAGAAGTGCGTTGCCAGGTTCCTTGGGAGGTTCTCTTTCCAGCCGTTATCTGAAAATCCGCTCTTTGGCCCTTCTGCTCCTACGTAAGTTATTCAGTCTTTTTCTTTCAAACTCGATTCTTTCGCTTGTTTGTTAGGATTAATACTAAGTTTAGTTTCCTCTTATCTTTTATTTCGTAGGACTGTTGTCTTTTGATCTTATTTTGGTAAGTTGACTCCCGAAAAAGTCAGTAGTTTTCCTTATAACTTTGACAATTGGCCATCCCGAATTTTAATATTTCCCTTTCTCTTAATTTTTCCTCCATGTGACCTTTTTTAGTGGGGAATTGTGTTACTGGTATGCGTAATTGATAGGATCATGGTGTGTGGTCTTAATTATATATACTATTTGGAACTGGTCTATTGAAACTATTCTAATGGGTTAATTAAGAAGAGCTTTGATTGAAAGATTTGGAAGTATCATTAGAAGTTCAGCTGAACTTTTGTTTTCTTGTGTGTGTGTGTGTGTTTTTTTTTTGGTATTTAATAAAATGTGGATGAGTCTGATTACTGATGTCTTTTGGTTTAACCTGTTATTATAGTCTAGTGAAGTTGGGTGCCCTCGCGTGGTCCAAAATTGTGCATCAACATCAAGCATGGAGATTGATCTCGGCGGTTTGGTTACATGCTGGAATTATTCATTTGGTTTCCAATATGTTGTGTCTTGCACTGATTGGTATCCGCTTGGAGCAGCAGTGTGGCTTTAGTACGTGATGTTCTATTCTGTTCATTTAGTCCAATTAATCTGGTCATCTTCCTATCTCCTATACTAATAGTTAATTTAAATTCAATGTTTCAGTTAGGATTGGAATTATCTATTTATTATCAGGATTTGGAGGCAGCATACTTTCTTCATTATTTATTCAGAACAGCATCTCTGTCGGTGCATCTGGTGCCCTTTTCGGACTCCTGGGAGCAATGCTTTCGGAGCTGATCACAAACTGGAGCATATACACCAACAAGGTTGAAATGGAATTTGATAATTTTGTATATTTATTTTGGTGATTGGGTGTTGGACGGGCACTCTAGTTGTTATTAAGTCTAGAAAATCGAAATGCTGTTCATTTCTCTGTGTATTCCTTAATTTTTCTTCGACTTCATGCCTGTGTGATCACTGATTTAATTGGATTCGGTTCAACTACCACTAATTTACTGTGTTTTTCTCTCTGGCGATGATCAGGTTGCAGCACTAGTGACCATATTGGTGATTGTTATCATCAATCTTGTGGTTGGGATTTTGCCGCATGTTGATAATTTTGCTCATATTGGTGGATTTCTGACTGGGTTTCTACTGGGATTTGTTTTGCTTCCTCGGCCTCAGCTGGGTTGGATAGGACGCCGGAATTTACCGCCGGATGTCCGTGTCAAATCCAAGTATAAGGCTTACCAGTATGTACTGTGGGTGGTTTCTCTGGTGTTATTTATTGCATGGTGAGTCTTCTAATCAAATTTTGGCTAATAAATGCAAATCTTGCAAATTTGTTAGCGAACACTAACAAATAGCAGCAGGGAGATCTTGTTACAGTACCATTTGTTGATAATTTGCTCATTGTTAATCCATCTTTACTTGATTTCAGGTTTACCGTGGGACTTGTTATGTTGTTCCGGGGCGAGAATGGATACAAACATTGCCACTGGTGCCATTACTTGACATGTGTTCCAACCTCGAAATGGAAGTGTAATGGAGAATCCTAGCTTCAGAAATGGCCTTCTAGACATGGCTGGTGTGAATATAATAGATTGATAGGTTGTGTAGACACGTGCAGCCACTTAGCATCAATAGCTCTTAAATTTTTTTTCTTCGATATTGAAACGTTAAGTAGTAAATTTTATGAGGTTTATTGGAAGGAATCATGAGTTCTGTAAGCTCCGTTGCATATTCATCGTTTAAATGGTTAGGTGTGGGTGTGAATTGTGCCTTACAGTGAGGCCTACACTTTAGTTTGGTGCTTCGTCAGATTATTGTCCTAAACTTAATGGCACTTTCACTTGTCGAGTAAGGTAAAGTTTAAAGATCAGCAACTATGACATAAGTTGTGAGGTAATTTAATTGTACGAAAAAACGGCTTTGGTTGATCACTCGTGGCTGATGATCCCTCTTGTTAGCCTTGCTATTCATGTCATGTAAACTTAATGAGAGTGGCACGTAATGTACATTACACACCGAATCCGGTTAACCTGGACTGCGTGTATAAGAGTCAGTAGCTCCACCGGTTAGGCATCTGAGGGTACAGAAGCCAAAAAATGGTGATGGTGGCGGTAGTGATAGCTGTGATGTTATTGAAACAATTCACCATTGTTGGCGGAGCAACTGATTGTAGCACTGTGACAGCTCTTCTGTCTGCTTGTTCGACCTTCATTGTTAACGGTACCCCGGATCCGCTTCCTGATTCGCCATGCTGTGTCGCCATCAGTACCCTTGATAATGTATCAAACGTATCTAACAATCGGCAGGACGTCTGTAAATGCTTGATGGGAATCATCACTTCTTATAATCCAAACGCCACTGCTATTGCAACTCTCCCTGGTTTCTGTGGTGTATCTCTGGGTTTCGCCATCGAACCCAATACTGATTGCGAATAGTAATACTGAAATCTCCTCCTTTCTTGCAGATTAACAATATTCATTGTCCTTATGTTTTCTTTCTTCTTTTATGACAATGATGCTTGAGGTTAACTTTGTTTTTTTTTTTTTTTTTTTTGCGGCGCAGCATCCCGTGATCAGTTGGAGAAGAAGAATGTGTGAATCCTAGCATATTTTGCATTTGACTACCTAACCGACAAGGCAGCCTGCGTCTATTGAAGCAGCATCTTAATGTAGTAATAGGAGAATGATAATAATTGTTCCTTCAAATTGATCTAGTTTTCTAGGTACAGATGTTGAATGAAAAGGATCTTTCTCGATGATACTGTGTAGCTTAAGTCATTGGCAGAATCAACGGGTAAAAAACTTTAGGCTCGTCTCTAATTGGAGACGTCAGAACAAAAAGATTCTATATCTGAAAGTTAGTAAAGCACATCGTGACTTCCATCCTTTTGGATCATACACATGAGGCTGTTAAAGTAGTTTACGAGTTTAAAAACAGCAATCATACTTGAAACAACACAAATATCCATAAAAGAGCTTACATGAACCTATCTTTTCCACACTCTTTTCCACACTGCATTCTGCCATTGCCTAGCGGCAATCATGTCTCTTAGGAATAAAGATTACCCTAGAAATCATTTGATAAACAACTATACATATTGATTGAATGGCCCTAAAAACAAGCCATTGTGTCCAGGTTCTAGGGCCTGCTTTTAGAAGTCACATTAAAATTCACAGCATCACTGTGGACATGCGTTCCTACTCTGTTCATGCCAGAGGAACGATATGCTTTGCCTCTGAGGTTAGCTGGTGGGATAGATCCCCTTTCAGAAGTAGTTTCTAGGTCCCAGAGCCCAGGAAGAAACTTCCGGCTTGTACCAAGTCTTTCATATTGCATTCTCTGTCTGGGGGCACTTTGGGACCTAACTTTAGCAAGGGATGATTCGGTAACACCCATGTAACTAGGGTGGCTTAGGTAGTCACCAAATACACTCCTCGAGCACTCACTCTGTGTGGGTGTAAAAGGACCTCTTCTACTGCTACTACCAGGTCTAGAAGATGCAGAATGTAGGCATGGACTGTTCTCAGCAGTCCGTCCAAGCATTTGTTCTTCCTGTGGATGAAATTTTAGTGATCTTAAAGCAGGGACATCCCCAGAAGATACACTAGGATTTGGCTTCTCCAGTTTGGCGGCGACCCCTGACAATGGATCAAAGGCTGCAACTCCTTGCCCATTCTCATTCCAAGCCTGAAAGAATTGCGCCCCCTGAAAGGTGTTGTCACCTTCTCTTGGGTCATAAGTTGGTTTCCAAGTGTCTATCTCAAGTATCTTGACACTTTTCTCATCATCTCTAGACATGCTTATGGAGGTATCATAGTGGTTGTTCCATGCGCATTCTTCCATCCATCGATCTAGCCAACTGGACCCTAGCTGCAGTCCCTCAACTTTGATGCTGTTGTTTACATTAGGTTTTGAAGCCCCTTTCTACATTTACAAGAAAACAAAATGCAGTCTAAGAGATGTACTGAGGTCTTGAAAAAATGTGATATATTTTCTCTCCTAACATTTTACACGTGGATAATAGTTTTGCTTCAATTGCAAGAGTTTCATGTGAAATCCCTTCAGTGTTTATTATCAGTAACATCAAGTAGAGTAGTTACCTTCACGTCTGGTCGTTCATGTTTGGCGTTGTAGGATCGCCGTGGATTTTCAGATTTTCTGAGTAATTGAGAACCCTGAATATGAATGCTTATGTCAGACATACAAGAATAAAGCACCCTCAAGTCTCCACAATAACTAATATACTGATGATAATCGAATGAGGAAGATCTTCATCATAAGAAAGTGCTTGCTCCAAATGCAGAACACAAGAAGTGAAAGATTTGTGATTAACTAGGAAAAATAATAAGATACACGGAACAAAAATGATTTCAAACTTCATTTACTTTCCTCTGCTCTTGAGAAATAAAATCATTCATTTAGTTAAACTGAGATTACTTACAGCATGGAGATGCTGCACAGACTTCATAAGAGAGTGAGGGGACTCAGAAACAACTCTGCTTGCACACGCTCGAGCCTGTATTCTAGCCAGTGCCTGCATACGACGGAGCATGTCTGCGCTTTGCTTTCTGACAATTCGACCTCTGACTAGAGCCTGAAGTTTAACCAATCCTTTAAGGGCCCTCAGTGCTCTCCTGGCCTAAAGAAACAAACCGTCAGTACTACTTCAACCAAGACAAAACAGAATCAATGTACGTCTAATAAACAGTGGCACATGAGCTCGAAAATCAATAGGTAAACGTGCAATTGTCATGATATAGGGTTCTATAGGCTTATTCTCAGTTTGCAAATTGGAGACAATTCAATTTTTTGCTCTGATTTCAAACTACACTTAAACTTTCAGCAACATACTATAAACCCGAGGGAGTTGGCAGTTTAATAAATTTCAATCACTGTGCTATCCAGAAGCTATGGCTGATGATCTTATTGGAGCGTGATCTTGGGGAAAGAAATGGTTAACCAAGCTATACTTGAAAAGGTACATTCTGTGATGTGAAGTTTGTATTTTCTAGTTACAGTGCCGACAGTAAATTCCTTCAACTTCCATTTGTAAATTCGACCACAAACATTCTGGTGCAAGAGCAGGAAAGCAGAAAGGCATTGCAATTTGTATCATTTTCTAGAGCATCCTCCATTTTACTAGCGTGCCAATCATAAAACTCAGTGGTACAGGAAAGTACAAATGAAACAACAGTTACTTTTGACGTAGTATCATGGTACTGTGCTAGTTCTTTGGTTGTTAGTGCCGACTTTTGGCGTAATTTTTCGCGGATCCGGATGAATCTTTAAAGAGTACAATCCTACAGGGTACTTTACGGCATTAACAATTTCTCTAAAACGGATAAAAAAATTATAAACAAACTAACCAGATAAGCTCTAAATGCTGACTGAATCTTGATAGCCGCCAATTCCTGCCGTCGATCTCTGGTAGAATACGCCGCCGAGGTTACAGTTCTAGTTCCAGACACAGAAGGTCCGGCGCTAGTGAGCCTGACGACTTCGGCAGCCGCCTGAGCGGCAGCAAGAGCGGCCTCCGCCACGGCAGCGGTGGCAGCCGCCACGGCTATCGCGTGCTTGCTAGCATCCAACTCAACATAAGAAGTTGAAGAAGCATTCTCATAGGCGGGGGCGGACCATGTGGGCCCACCAACGCCGCCTCTTGAACCGGCAAGAGAATTGTCATTGCTGCCGGTAACAGAGTTCCTGACGACACCCAAATTGGAGTTGGAGGAGTTCCGGTACCCAGATTTCTTCTTGTCCGGAGCCGAATCAGGGGAATTCTTCGAATTCTTGGAGCCCAGAAGCGAACGGAACCATCTGGAGGCCTTGCCCATATCGCATTTCAGCACCGAATGCTAAGGACAGCATTTGTCAGAGGAGGTACAGTGTTGAGTGTTGACTCTCAGAGTGACATTTTTGAAGCTGTTTTTTAAAAAGGGTGTTCTGAATTAATAGTATAAAAGTCTTGGTAGGTGGAATTTTGATTTTGAAATATATTTGATTAGATAGAACTTGTGGTGGTGGGTTTGGTGGTTAAAAACTTGTAATAAATGGTGCCCTTTTGATTCAGTGCAGACACTGAAAAATATCTCTCAGTAATTGAAGTGAGTGTTAAAATTGAGGAAAAAGGGGAAGAAGGGAAAGGAAATGGAGGAGGAAAAAAGGAAGAAGCAGAAGAAGGTGGGGACGGAGGAGGGAGTGGTGGAGGAAGGAGGTGGTGGTGGTGGGACTGGGGCTGAGAGCGATGGAGATTGGCGGGTGGTTGGATTATGGAAATCGGGGACCCGGGATTTTAAAGCCCTTTTGAGTTTTGACAGGTAAGACTTTGGTCCTCTTCCGTTTCCTGAATCCTCCACTCCGTAGGCCCCATCCCGATGTTTACTATACGCTTGTGAATTTTCTCATCTTTTCCCCAAACTTTTTGATGAATTATTACACAATGTACATTTCCGACATAATATTGTGTGAGACGCATTTCATCATTATTAGCAGGGTACAAGAGAATTAATTCACCCGTGTGAGTCGTTTATAAATGCAGATATTACTACTAGTGCAAATGTTTGTTGTGATCAGATAAGACCTTATTTACGTCACCAACAATTCATTTGTTATGTAATCATCCTTTCTCGATTGATATGTTTACACTATTTATTGAAAAGATTATCAATTTAAAATCAGGAATTTTATGTTTGTTTTGTTTTTTTAATATGTGTTTTTAAGTATTTTTTTATATTGGGAATGTAAAAATATGTATCGAGAAATGTGAAAAAAATAGGTTGGGATGAGATTGTTATTATTTTATTATTATGAAAAACTACCCAAAAAAATAATAAAACGAACAAAAGTTGTGTTATTAACTTTCTTTGTTCTTTTTTTTATTTAAATTATATTTGAGAGATCTTTTCCCGTTTCGCGTTTATTATCGAGATTCCAGAGTTCAAATTTTAATTGAAACATGGCAAACCTACAAATTGTGTTAATTTGAGGCTGGTTTTCGTTACTAAATCAACAGTTTTTCCCTTTCTTAAAGAGAAATTCCCGCCATTAACTTAGAGGTCCGGTGTGGCGTAATCATAGCCTTAAACTCAAATTAATTTCCGGTAACGTTGTGATGATGTCTACATTAGAAAGGCAGTATCCCGTGATTAAATTGAGTCTGTCTCTCCCAAGTACATCTCTATCATTATTGCCTTTTTGTCTTTTTATCCTTCTTTTTTCATATTGCACACGGTGTCTTAAATGTATTGCATTCATAAAGTCGGGACGGTCTCCTTTCGGAAAAAAAACTCTCCCAATATTATTCTTTCCAATTACGAGACTCGAACCAGAAACCTTGTTTAAGGGAACCAAAACACCTTATCACTTTGGTCAAGCAAGTCTTTTCGTCCTTCTTAAGACTTAAAGTAGTAGTATGTTTTACTATACGACCTTTCCTTTGCCTCGTTTGCCGTTTAAATTACATGATTTAAGCGTAAAAATGCCAAACTTCAAAAGTCCATGCCGTACACTATGCACGCATAGAAAATGAGTTTTCCGAACCCAAAGTCCCAAAGTTGGACTCTTGAGCTTTCCGAAAGTCTATGAATAAGTGTAGTTGACTTAAACTGAATAAATTAAGGAGCTTTGATAAGTAATGGAACAAAAATCAACTTTCACATGGATAAAGGCAATGTGGAGATCAAGTGCAATGAGGTTTTAAACTGACTGCATAATTGATAATTTAGAGGGAGGAAGACTCTATTTGTGTGGGGTCATTCCCATATCCCGGTTATCCTGTGATTTCACCATGCACCGACCCTTCTTAACACTGAACACGTTTGTGATTTAGAAAAGCATGGTTGGCCATTTGGGAAAGTGAAATTTTGAGTTTTGGACCCAGAGTATGAAGGAGAAAACTTGTCAGTTTCGTTTCAGTTTTGGGCCGTTCTTTCTTAGAAAAAGGATTCCCTTTTAAAGGCCCAATACAGTCCATTTCATTTGCTTGAAGGGAACAGAGCCCACAAAAATGAACTATAGTAGAAATAGTAATTACAGTCCAATGGGAAACTGATGTGAACGGATTCACTTTGCGTGCAGTGCGCGTTCCTCCATCTTCCTTGACAGTCAGATATTTTTTTATTTTTATTTTTTTTTTAAAAAAAAAGACAGTCAGACAATATATTCACTCATTGAAAGTTAAGACTTTGTATAAGGTTGGATTATTTGATTATTGGAAAGTCAGTTAACAATGTTATGTTCGGAATCCGGATGGAACCCGAACTGCCAACTGATGTTTATGTCTGCGTTTTGTTTATTTTCAATGAACTGCTTTAACCGGCATGCTCAAGTATAAAAAAATGTGTTGATCCGCACTTAACTGGGGATGGCGGATTGGCGGTGATATTCTGGACTTATTATAATAACAGTACAATCTACAACCAAATCTCAAAGTGATAGTTTAAATTTGATCGGTCGGAGGAAGAGTCTAAGGAAGAAGAAAATGAGTGCTTTATTTAGTTCATGTTATTGTACTCATCTGATCTAAAACTTTGACCTGCCTTACATGGCAATTTCCCAAGAAAATTGCTGACTAGATCATCATCACCCAACAAAAGAGATCGAAAAAAAGAAAGAAAGAAAAGGGGATGCCTCATATGGACGTGCGGACCCCCAACATATATTTTATTCGTACGTCTACCACTGTGTCTTCCATGTTCCAACTCAATTTCCCGTACCTAAAATTTTAAAAAAAAAAAAAAAAAAAAATTGTCAAACGTTAGAATTCCCATTCGAAATCTCTTACATACACACTTAAAAAAAGTAAAAAATTAGTTTATTGTTTCCTAAGGTAATTTCAAAAAAGAATTGGTAGAACAATAATAATGAAGTTACCGCAGCTGACGGGTGGGAGCTGGCAGCGGGAGGGAAGCTGGGAAGCAATTCGGATGGTGTTGCAAACGCATTCGTGGGTTACGGCAGAAAGGGCGTTGCAGCATTCTGGGGGAGGGGCAACGTTGTTGAGCAGCGACGGGGCACAGACGTTAAGGTTGCCCAGTGAGGTGGCGCACTGATTCCCTGCTGCTGCTTGAGATTTGGCTACCTGTGCCTGCAGCAGCACTATCACTACCAACACCGCCAACACCATCACCGATTTCTTCATTCCTGCAAACCCCGCCATTGATGATGATGATGATGTACTTTACTAGCTTTTCTTCTTCTTTAATTGGCTAATTCAAACGGATAGTGTCTTTATAATTTTTTGATGATTCGTGGTGGGTTCTTTGGTATTAATTTATACTAGTGGTTATTGTGAGTGTGTAAAATTAAGGCTCATGCAAGAACAGAGCTCATTTGTATGAATGACCTAATGGTGATGAGTTAGTTGCCCAACACGCATTCCGCTTGGTGGCTTCTTTGCATTTTCTCCTATTTTTGTTTTGTTTTTGGTTCATTTCTTCGAGTTTGTCACGCTATGACTAGCACTACGTTTTTAATAGTCTGCACATTTAAAGCCAGTCGCATGGAATCTGACATTACTTGTACATATCTGCTTGTAAACTAATAGACTAATACTACCCCTCCTAATTTCGAAAATTTTGTTTGTCACATTTCAAAGGGTTGAAATGATTTGACTCAATAAAATGAGACCTATCCACGAAAGTTACACAAATTTATAACTTCTGAACGTAACTTATTAGAGACACGAACTTTCCCCTTGGGATTAGCTATTAGTACTCACTCCATTTTAATTTTTAGGTCGTTTTAGGTTTAGAGAGATTTTTTAAAATGTAGGTCGTTTTACAAATTTTAGGCAAAACTAATGACTATTTTTTCAACTTTACCCTCAATAAATGATGTCATATTTTCATATAGTCTTATTTATAGTTCTAATGTAATTAATAAGGGGTAAAACATATAAATAAGTTAATAATATATTAATTAATTATTAAATGATTGTCTCCTTAGTATATTTGTAAATCCTAAAGTTACTTACATTTTGAAAGGCTATTAGTACTAGAGTAGTATTCCCTCCATTCCAAAATAAGTGTCGTTTTAGCAAAATGGAAAAATTTCAAAATAAGTGTCGTTCTCACATTTCAATGTACTTTTTGTCAAAAGTTTTTAAAATTACCCTCAAAAGAGTTGATGCTATTGGTGGACAATTGGTTGAGAATATTGAAGTAATTTTATTATTCTATTTAAGAGTTTCTTAAATATGTGCAAAGTGTAGGACGATAATTATTTTTTTGGAATGGAGCGAATCCCAATTCCTGGAATTTGAGCGGAGGGTTTAATCAAAACCAATTCCTTGTGGGTAGTAGTACTACAAGTTTCGGAGTATGTCTGATTTTTTGGGTCAGAATTTAATGTTCCACTAGCCAATCTCGCATGGTAGCCACTAACGGCTAACCAGTAGTACTACTAGCGGCAATTACCAAACCTCGATCCTCAAGCTAATTTATGGGGTGATGTAGCATCGTCAATGGTGTGTTGCCCAATAACAACTTTCGTCTTGCTACCATTTATGGATATGGGCATACCCATTTTGCATACTCCTAGTTTTTTCGAACATTTGAAATCTTGTGTTCATTTAAAGCAGAATTGAATACAATAGGGCAGGGTACTCCACAACCTTACAACGTTAACCTAACCACCGGGTTCTCTACAAATTTTGAATAACGCCTCTTCCAACGCTCAAAATGTGTACGTAGGTCACTTGATTTTGGCCTAATCAAGGTTTTAGTTCAATATTTTCGAGCTCCTATAATAAGAAGAGAAAAAAAAATGGTCAGTAATCTTTTTAATACACAAATATTCTAATTCCCAACCCAACAAGAGGAGAAAATGGAAAGTGGTAACCATAAAATAACTTAGGCTTTGTTTGTTTTGCTTTTTTAGTGTGTGTTTTTAGGTGTTTTTTGTATTGAGAATATAGAAAAGCATATTAAAAATGTAAAAAAGTATGATGAGATGGGATAATTATTATTATTTAATTTTGAAAAAACCAACTTAAAAAACAAACAAAGCCTTAAATATCAAACTCACACGCACAGCTACTGAGGTCTGAGGCATTTGATTTTGGAATCAGGTGTTCCAAGTTTCTGTTGTCTATGTTTAAGGTAGACAAGATCTTAATGGCAACTTCTGGGAAATTAATGAAGTTACACATCCATTAATGCGTCTACACTGGACAAAACAGACCATAACGTACTGAATTGGTCCACCATGTACAAATAACTCTCTCTCCTCCTTCTAGCCTAGGTGATTAAAATACAGAGTAGTAGGGCTACGCTTTGACAAAAATGTTGAAATACAAACGCCTGTATCGAAGTCCAATGGTAAGGAGTGGGAAATATCCCGCGTTGAGTACAGTAAAAAGAATTAGTAGATCTACTTCTATTATGAAATCGATTCAAGTGTAAAAAATTTAGTAAAAATTACAATCAACATATCGATAAAGATTTCAAAAAAACTGGGAAACATAGAGAAGTGCTGGCGGCCATTAGGGAATGGGATTATTGTTTGTTATCTTCTTCATCAGCAGAAGCTGCTGGGGCTGTCCAGTACGATTTTACCGCAAACAGAAGCTTCTCTCGTTCCAATGGTCCATCTTCATGGTCAACGATCTGACTATCCCAGTTCAACGCATCCGCAACCCTCTTCACTTTAACCAATATATCTACGTCGTCACGAATTATTACACTCCCTTCTGGTCTTAATATTCTGTCCATTTCCAGCATTATATCTACCATCTCACATCTGCACCACAACGTTATTAACCAAATTTAGCTTTTGCTTAACAAGAACAAGGAATGTGGTGGACGAATTAGGCAACTTACTTGTTCTTGTAAAGGGTAAATACTGAATCAGCATGAATGAGGTCATAAGTTCTTGGATACGTTGACATGGCTTCACACCTGTGTCAAAAATCAAAATCAACCACTTAAATACATGAGTTAAACTGATAGAAGAATACTTGAGGTAACAGAAACATTAGTTTAAGACAAAAGGTATATTTAATTACCAGCTCTGGTAGGTACCGATCAATCCTCGTTCATAAATTACACCGAGAGTGTTAACCTTAGCCTCAACAGGAACCATGTTCATTACCCAGACTGGATCATCGGCCAAACTCGCTGCGAATCCACCCAAGTAAGCATTCATGTCTAGGAGATTTCTGTACCTTCCGGGTTGGCCAAGTTGGTTATTGACCGTCTTATAATACGAAATTCTTCTCTTCCAGAGCTTGGAATTTTGTTGGAAATCTTCAGCCTTGACTCCTTCAATGGTTCCCCTGCTGATCCTGGGCGGTATTGCATTTAATCTCTTTGGCCATTTTTCCAATTTTCCACCTGCAGTTTCGTCCTCATCGGAAACTTCTGGCAAGGGTGTTAAACAAGTCTCTATCTTTGTGTACCTAAAAAAATTGTTTCATGAAACCAGTAAGATTACCATACCAAACAAAATGTTACATTTTCATTATCATTCTGTTTCAAGTAATTGGCTTGTATGTAATCATCCATGCAGAATTGCAGATACACTAACCAGGCCTTATCAGGATCTTGGGAAGGACAGAATGCGGGATTCGTATGAACCCTCTTCAGCTTTTTACACTGCAGGTGATTCGCAGGTTTCTGCCAAATCGCAATGTCGTCCTTCTCAATCAATTTCTTCCAGCAAAGGCTTTTAGCCACATTCTCAATTCCAGTTTGCTCCTCATTCAAATCGTCCCTTGTTCTTTCCCAGCCTTTCCAGTATTTTCTCCAACGTATTGGTGGTCCAGATAGTATCCAATATCCTCCTGGCCGTAGAATACGATCCACTTCAATCAGGAACACCCCATCTGTTCAAACAGAAAACCAGAAAAACATCAATTTCCTCACTAGAAAACTCGTAATCAAGTTTGAAAATTAAAACTTTAGTTGTGAATTATTAACAATACCATGTTGGCCCCAGGGAATGAGGCAGCGAGAACAATGAGCCATGTCAAAAGCCCTTGATGGATAAGGAAGCCTCTTGGAGGCAAGAACTCCAATCAAAGCAGGAACTCCCCGCTCCAGAGCGAATTGAACTTGTGCTTCATGCGTATCCCTTGGTGCAAATGACATTGCAATAATGTTCCGTGACAAAAGATAAGCTCCCCAACTTGCCACCTGAGATATTATTCTAAGTGTCAGAAAATCTTAAAGCAAAATTATACCATTTGACAGATTTTAGTATATCATAAAATTCATAATGCTACTAATTACAGTATCAGATTTTCCCTCTTGTCTTTTTTGGGTGTCATGCAAATTCCAAATTGTACTTGTTCATGTTTCATTACATTTGCTCATCATAATGTCCTGCAAAAACTGAAATTTGTCTTCCCAAGTACATTTACATGTAAAGTATACTCATTTCACGCCACAGAGAACTTTTGGCAGTCAGTTTTAACAGAGGAGTGAGAAAATAATAAAGAAAAAAAATCTACCAAGACGAAACGAAAGAGACAAAGATCATGCAATTCCAAATGCCGTCTGTGATCTGTCCTGTACACTAGTAGACCTAACTAATGCCATGCAAAGTCTCTCAAGTCATAACCAGAAATGAGGTTATTGGATTCCGCCTCGCAATATGAATCAGGAAGCTTTTACAGACACGGACGCCTCCAAAGGCTATAACCCCACATGTGCACTGTAGATTACCACATCCGTTTTGTCTGAATCCGTCAGTCCATCCAACAATGCTTACATCAAAACCCAACCCAAACCCAAAAGAATATGCCCCACAACAAACATGCTGCTCAATTTGTGCATCTCACTTCAGTTGCATTTATTTCATCCCTTTCCTGATTTATCAACCTAATTGTTACTTTGTTACGATAAGATAATGACTTCCTACTGATCGTTTTAAAACCGCGTTTACTAAAAAAGAAACGTCAGTAACGGCAGTGTTAGGCTAATCAAAAGGGTAACAGAAATAATTAAAATGATGATTGAAAACAGGGGAGGATAACTTACCCCACAGCCCGTATCAATGGCGGTCCTAATAGAGCCATCTTTGAGATTGATCAACTTTCCAATATCATCGATGTATGCATCGGCGCCATTGGGGAACATGGTCCCGCCACCAGGAAATCTAAATTTCTCACCTTCGTAGCGAATCCAGTTCTGTACGGCTTTCTCCACGGTCAATTCCTTGTGAGGGACATTAGCATACCAAGCTAGATCCCTGCTGGTGGGCCACTTGAACGGCGTCTTGTAACCGTACGGTGCCGGAATACGGCACTTGAGAAGTTCCGGCTTCGCCGGGCAGTGCCTCTCTCTGTATATCAAACGGTCCCTGGGAAATTTCAATGAACGCTTTTGGTCCTCACAGGGTGTGTACTCGCTGTACTTGACGTCACATGCCGGAATCGTCTTCACGGCCTCTTCGGGAACGGTGGATGCAACGCCTTCATCGGCGGCGTGGTGAGAGCTGAAGTCTAAAGAGTCGGCGACGGAATGAGAAGAAGAAGCTCTGGAAATAGTATTTGTACTATCATCGGTGGTTGTGGTGTTGGCTATAATGACGCAAGGGACGGTAGCACCCAAGTTGGCGGTGGCGGAAGCGGCGCCGGCGCTGCGGCCGGAACCGTGTTGCCAGACTCCGAGGTAGTAGGAAAGGAAGCAGAGAAAAGCGACGGCAACAAAAGGGAAGAGATTGGTTCTTTTCCAAGGATGGTAGGCCGGAGAGGGTTTAGAAATTGGGGTGTAGTATGGTGGGCTTGGACCCGCCATTGCCGAGTTTGGAAACCTCTCTGTTTCCGACCCTTTTCCCCACTTATCCTCTGTTTATTTGTAAATTGTAACAAAAGGAGAATGAATAGTTTTGTTGGTGTGGGTTTATAAGACCAACTTTATAGAAATTGGTGTGGGAGAGTGTGCGAGTGTTAGAGATCTGAGAAAGTTTGGAAACAACAACTACACAGGTTGGGAATCAAATTGAACATGTGGGGAGTGACAACGTAAGAATGCATGAATAAAGGAGTATTAAAATAGGAGTGTTTGATTATATTAATGTGGGGATAGTAGTAATACATGTGATATGAACACGATGAATGTTAGGACTTATATGAATAAAGCCGGGATGCAGGGGAGGGAGATTTTGGGGAAGGTAAGGTAAGGAAAGCCGTTGTTTGTTGATGATGGACTTCTCATGAGTAGGATATGTATGAATATTGTGAGTGATATTTTTTTGGTTTATATATTTATTTTTTGAGGAAAAAAGAAAAAAAAAAGGAAGAAAGAAAGAGAAGAAAATGAAGGGGGCTTCGGGTAAGTAAGAGAGGAGGATTCCTTACTCTCGATTGAGAAATTCTACTGCCCCCAATACTTACTTTTTTCTGACAATACGATACTACTAGTACTACTCCTCCTCTTTACGTTTAGTGCCCTATCCTTTCACTTTCCAATAATTAATTTCCCTCCCTTTTTCCCTCTGGTCCACTTCGAGAATTATGAAAGAATAGTGAGGAAAAAAAAAAAAGATATTGGATATTTGGAGCATTAATTGAAGCTACATAGTAGTGTACGTAGTTTAGGGTTGAAAAGGGGGATTATTTTATAATGCATATCTGACTTTTCTCCAAAATTAAGAGATGAAGAAGACAAGAAGTATTCTCGCTCGAAACTTTCGAGAGAAATGGAAAGAGGAAAAAGAAAGGGAACGATAAATAAATTCCCTGGTTTAGTATAATTATTATTATTATTATTCCCACTTGCGCCCATATACACATGGTTACTTAAATTGGACAGATCCCGCTACCTAGTCTAGTCAAATATAAGCGCACACAATTTATATTTTCACCACTTCTCCCCAGTTTTAACTATGCAAAATGGGGATTAAATTTGATAATCGCGGGGGCTTCGGTGATTATGTGATATCATCACGGGAAGGAATCATTTTACGACTAATTTAAATAACACAATATTCTTTATTTTGAGATAATAATAACGCATTGCATGTTCTTCCCGTTAGTAGCACCTCTCCGATATGCTACCGTACGAGTATGATGTAGTGCCTACTTAATTATTCTCTCGGTTCTACAATTGTTGTCTACTGTTATTTTAGTAAAAATATTTTATCCCAAATTTATTGTCTAAATTACTCATTTTTCTTTTAGTAAAAAAAAAATCATCCATAAAACTTTTGCCACTTAAACAATTTTTTATGCATGGATATACCCGGTTGAGTATGTTATTATACATAATTAAGTTTGATAAAAAATAAAATCTTTTATTTTAGCCAAACTCAGACCATAATTATAGGAAGGAGGAAGTACCCTACATGACTTTCTATGCTCAACAGCGGAGACTTAAAACTAAAATACTATAACTGCAAAGTACCCCCAAGTTTATAGGCAGCAGGGCAACACGTGATCGGCAGTAGATTCACTACTCCGTGCCTGCTCCGTTATGCTGATAATCTTACTAACAACTTGATAAATCTTTTTTCCAACAAAATAAATAAAAAGTGAACAACTTGGTAAATCTGTGGATAAACATAGTTTTGATCCGAATCCGGGACATCTATCACCTCCTTCAAATCACCCCCACTGCGGAAGATTGTGCCGTAGTCCTAGGTTATGTTATCTTCTGCACCCCCAGTTGCTTTTGTTTTTGTTTTAGACATTCTACTACTTTATTTAACGTGGGCATACTTGATTAGTTGATTAATTGAAATGATATATGGATTAATTCTTTAGCACTAGGTTTTCACTTTATACATGGAAAAGTCAACCTTAAATTCTGAGAGCTTTCTAGTTGACAGGGTTTGGGTGCTTGACTGTTGACTGGGAATGATTTAGCTTTTCAACATATATATGTTGATATATAATAGCTAAAAAAGTTAAATATTTAATTTAAAACAGAAGAATCAAATAAAAACTGAGACTCTCCTTTTATGTTGGAAGGGTAAATATATAGGCTGTGTATATAGCCAAGAGTAGTTTAATTATAGATTGGACTGATGCAATTTATTCGCCCGCAAACAATGAAACGAAGTTAAAAGCAGATCATATGATTTTTGTCGTCGTTCACGAAGGATCTTTTTGTCTTTTAATTCCTCCTAGTGCATGATGGTTCGTCATTTCACCACTTATTTACTGCCTAATGATCATAAAATGACCCACAACTTCTCCTCCAATTAGAAAAGAAAAAATATCTCACGAGTCTGTACAAAATCAAGTAATAAGAAAGGGTGTTTATAGATGTATACTCCTTAATAACTCAAGACAATGAAACTCCTGTTTGGATATGGATATGGTGGCACCAGGGGAGGGTGCAACTAAGACCAGGGTCCACGCTTATAAGTCTGAATTTGATATATACCATGCATATTAATAATTCTTATAGACTTATGGCTAGCTAGCTACCCTAATAAACGTTAATATAACTTTCTGTCCTAAATATGATTAACCAAACATTTGGATCTTTTCACGTCCAGATACGATAATTTGGAACCAGTTGTCGGTATAAGATTATACTACCATCTTTTGAGTATAAAAAGTAAAAGAAGCTGTAGACCAAAAGCCAGATTGAAGACGATGACAAGGTCTTATCTCTACGTACTTTGAAAAGGCAGTTTTATGTCATCAATGTTTTTTTTTTTTTTTCCTTCCTAGGATTATTATTGCGATTAACTTATTTAATGAATGACTTACTATCATGAATTGGTGATGTGGAATTGCAATTTGTGTGAACGTTGTTCATGGCTGGCCACTACACACCATTTTTGGCTAATGGAGTAATGGTGATTTTAATAGGGTGGAGCAATTAATTTTGGCAGACATTAATAAACAAGGTCACGGCAAGTACGAACACCCAATACGATACTGATCGTGCTTTTAAATTTGTGCATTTTCTTTTGGAGTACAGTGAAGCTGGATTAAATCGTAATCTACGGCTCCTTGTTCCAGGAAAGGCATTTTTCCTGCAAACGGTGTTGAACAAAGTAGTAAAAAGGAGCTTCTATTTATAAACTAGTTATATTAATTTCTTTTTCATCTGTCTAGAAATAGTCGTCTAGTTTAGATTCTTATTTTTAGTACTACAAATTAAACCAAAAGTGAAAAATCAAATTGAACAGATATTTTGGAACAAAGAGAGTAATTAGTATAGTCCCAATTCAATTTTTAGGGCCAACCAGACCGTTCCTTACCAAAAATAGATGATCCTTGGATACAGCAACACTCCAAATCTTAAATGGCGCCATTAGGTGTCATCGGTTGTGTTTCTCCATACATGTTTTGGAAGTCTCTCTAAAAAGAAAGAGATACTTATCATCACTTAGATGAAGGAAGTTACGTATGGCAAACTTAAGTAGCAGGTAAAAATCAAACATACCGACATCTTAATTTCCTTCCTAACGGTCCTCGATCGGCTAGCTTCAACATGTGATATTGCTGAGATTTATGATGGTCATCCGGCGATTCATCCGGCTACCTTGCCCTTCAAACTAAAATGTTTTATTCTGCTACCGCATTCCCGTTGTGGATATTTTTGGCCTCCCCATAGTGGACTGCATTAACTTAAGTTACTGCAGCTGCATATTCTAAAGTCATATATAATGCCACACAACACTAACTTGAAATTCAGGAATTTAGTTTAGGGGGTGAAAAAACAAAGGGACCTAAAGGCTAAAGGACTCAAAGGGCCTCTTCTGACCAGTCCATCCAACTACTAATGCATGTTTAACCAACTAGTAGTCTAGTAGTGACATATGAATGTGACGCTCACGCTGCATCTAGACCTTAAGAAATTGAGATGAGCGCTACCATCACTGGCACCTTCGGAACTACCATTCTCATATACTCATCTAACATATGATGTCATCTTATCAATTGGTGGTGTAGGTGATGTAACTCCTCTACATTCTGTTTTTTTTTTTTTTTTTCTGGACTGGGAAAAAAAAATAAATCTAACTAAAAAGTGGCATATGATGGTGGTGAAAAGTTAAAACACAGTACTAGGGGTCGATTTGATTTTCTTTTATTCTTGTAGAATCTAAATTGCGCATAGTCTCGTGCCCATCGATGATTGATTATTAAGACTCAAAATAATGCATTTCGCTGTCATGAGAAGTTGAGAATTTTATCTGTTAAAATCTGCTTTGAACTTGAAAACAAGTGAAAAATATTCTCAAATCAATTTTCAGTGGGAAGCCCTTCACCAAATGAACGGGTTCTTCTTATTATCAGCGCGCACTGGTTCCAACGCCAGAAAATTGGACAGATGAGTGATAATCCCAACTTATGGCAATGGGTACTATCCTTTTGGGCCTTGGCCCATGCATGATGGACTTATCATAGATTACAATGTACTCATGTCACATGCTGGGGTTAAAAGGAAATAGATAAAAATATAAGATTTGATTGTAATATTTCTGTTAATCGTAGTTTGCTGGATTTGCATAAATACTTCCGGAAGCTGATGTTATCATTATCGAATGAATATTGAATGAAATCTGAAGTATGTTTTCTTTCTCAAATTCTTCCCCCAATTCTTGTTCATATGTTCATCTTCCTCCGGCCAATTCTGGCTATTCTTCTCTTTATTCCGGTCCCAGAATTTATCCATAATTCACTCTAATTCGCCGGTACCTGACAAATCACATTACGTGTCCTACAAAAAAAATTGTGTGTATATTAGATTTTGAAGTTTGTATTTTTTATAAAATTTTTATAATTTATACCAAAATAAAAATATAAATTGATGATCTAAATATGATAGTAAATGCTAGTATTTATCATCACATCACCATAAGCCAAACTCAACCACATAAAACATACTGTATTTTATTTATTTTTAAAAATTGTCATTCATTTTCTTTCCTGTTGAAATGGGGAGAGGAAAAAAAAGGAAAAAGAAAATAGCCTCGTCACGGAAGCAGGTAAATGGAAGATGTGTCCCTCACAAAATCCGTGTCATTAGCATCGGAGCCACATAACAAAAACCATATACATACATGTCATCAGCCGAATTTTGGTGTGGTCACACTCACAAGATATCTTCCGCTTGTCCATTTTATCTTTTTAATAATGCCTCGGCTCTTTCCACAAACACCTGATTATTTCGGTTCTTATTAAATAAAAATAAAGGAAAGCATCTACTAGTATCTTTTTCTCATGACAAATTCAAGTATTCAACTCCTAAACAAACCATTATTAACGTGTTGCTTTACGAGCTACAGAAAAACATACACCATTAAGAAGTATTGGGTTGATTAACTATACTCTGTGCAAAGGTGAAGATTATTTGATCCTCCCCCTGTCTCAAATATTTATTTTTATTTTTAGTACGATTTGTATTATAAATAAAACTTTAAACTGGATATTAATTTTAGGATAGAAAAAATAGTATTATGTTTGAGTATTGATTAACTATAATCTATCATTCAAATCGAGAAAATGATTTCATCCATCCCTTTATTTCACTTTCTCCGTTCTTTTAAAGAAAGTAATGTTTTCTATAGTGTATCATTTTATCTAGTAGGAGGGTATTTGTAAAATTATGTAATTAATTTATAGATATAGAATAATTGTAAGAGAATATTGTTATATTATCACGAGGTTTGACCACAAAATAGGCTGCATAAGTTAAATTACTCCTATTTAATTACAATCAAATCTTAAGCTGTGAATGAAGTTATTCAACGATGAAATTTGTGTTATATTTTGCAAATTGATCAGCTCAATAATCCCTTTTACCCTATTAAAGCAGAATATATGATGTTGATGTGGCAACTTCTTATTAAAAATTTTTGGCTCCAAATGCACCATATTGCATTAACCATTCTGCCACGTGTCATCCCTTTTTTTAAAAAAAAAAAAATTCTTATCCAGAAAAACAAAAGCTACTTTACAAAAATAGCTACACAATTTTAACTCCTAATATTTATCATTTATCAATCAAATTAAAATTGTATTTAAATTTTTCCATAAACTTATCCCCTTTATTACTCCATATTCTTTCGTATGATTTCTGAATCGTTGTACTTTTCAATATTTTTTCTCCTTTGGCAGATAATTTTTTTATTTTTATAATTATTTTTTGCTAAAAAAGAAAAAAAAATGTGTAGCTATTTTATTTTTTTCAAATCAAGAATTCATTTATCTATTTATCTATTAACATAAAATTAAAGTAGACGGGCGCCCAAACATCTACATGGGCCAAGCATCTAGTATAATTTAATTAAGGTCAATATTAAGCCCTTTCACAAAGTCAAGTAAGATTGGTTCAACACGTATGAGAACTGTGTGAAAGCCACACACATGTGGAGCCGGTGCGGAACTTTTCGCCCTTTCGGTTTGTTTTCGGCCTTTGGGGAAGATCGGAGGGTCAACAATTGTGTTTGAGATACAATTGGGCCAATGGGCTTTTCATTGTTGACCTTTACCTGGTAAGTTTGTTATTATCGAACACAATCCTAATCTCTTCGGGAATTCACCAACAAATTTCAGAGTTCAGATCGGATTATTCTCCAACAAAGTAAAAACCAATGATGCAAATCCTACCGGAATTCTAAGACCACCCCACCGCCACCACTTCAATCTCATACAAATTCCAAATCCCTCACCCATTCAATCTTCTCCTCCGTCAAAATATTTTCAATATTGTACAGTAGCGATGTTGTTGAAGAAATCATCAGCTGCATCTATGGCCATGCCTTCTTTTCGATTCCAAGACATGACTTCTTTCTTCTGTGATTTCCGTTTCCATTCCAAAGTCGATGCCTTCGACAACGCGACTGAAGCTTTCACTGAACCTCTGTTTCTTTGTTGATCTCAATCCTCCAGAACCCCAAATTTCCACTAACCAAAAAAACCCTAAACAATCAATTTTATTATTTTTGATTTCTGTGGTTTTCTGTTGTTTTATTTGATTCTCGTGCGATGGCGACGAAAATTATGGCTGCCGGGGATGATGATGGTATTTTAGAGACGTCTCCGGATGGCCGTTTTGTCAAGTACGATGAAGTTCTGGGTAAAGGGGCGTTCAAGGTCGTGTACAAAGGATTTGACCAAGATAGTGGATACGACGTTGCTTGGTGTCAAATCAAGATTGACGAAGCCGCCGTTGTGAAATCGAGCTTTGCCGATAATCTGCTATCGGAGGCTAATTTGATGAAATCTCTGGAGCATGAAAACATTGCCAAGTGTCATTCTTGGTGGGTTGACCGAGGAAGCATGAACATCAACATGATCACCGAGTTGTTCACTTCTGGGACGTTGAGGCAGTACAGGAACAAACACAAGTCAGTCAACATGAAGGCCATCAAGAATTGGGGTGTTCAGATCTTGAAGGGGCTGAGTTATCTTCATTCCCATGATCCACCGGTTGTTCACAGGGATTTGAAGTGCGACAATATATTCGTCAACGGGAATAACGGCCAGGTTAAGATTGGTGATCTAGGATTGGCGACGTTGAGGCAACACCACCGTCGTCTGGTGACTGTTCTTGGGACGCCTGAATTTATGGCTCCTGAGCTGTATGAGGAAGATTACGACGAACTGGTGGATATTTACTCGTTTGGGATGTGTATGCTGGAATTAGTCACTTGTGAGTATCCTTACAGCGAATGCAACAACGTGGCTCAGATTTTCAAGAAAGTCACAACCGGGGTGAAGCCTCTGTCTCTGGGGAAACTCCAGGATCCGCAGATGAAGGCGTTGATCGATAAGTGTTTACTCCCTGCTTCTCAGAGGCCTAGTGCAGCAGAGCTCTTGAAGGATCCATTTTTTACATCATCAACCAAGAAAAGCACACTGGAAGAGAATAATTTGCCTGAATTCCAAGCTTCTGATTCTGCAAGCACGGCATCAAGCTCTGGATCATCATCTTCATTGTCATCTGTGGGAAGCGTCTGGAGTGCTACTAGTAGTAGTCCCGTTTCAACTGCGGAATCTTTCAGGTCCACAACTGAGGTACAATTTCGATTGCGGGGGAAAAGGATTGATGTTAATACCATTTCATTTAACTTGTACATTCTAGACAAGAGAAGCCTTGTAGGCAAAAGCTTTGAGTTCGACTTCGATCTTAAGGCTGATGATGCACTTAAAGTCGCCCTGGAGATGGTTGATGGAGACGAATTGAGCTACCACCAAGTGCCAATCGCTGCTGAGTTGATTGATTGTGTGGTTTTGGAGCTCGAGCCAAATTGGATTACATGCCCTGGATTTCATCATGAGCTAGATGTTTCTTCTGGATGCAACGACCTAAGTTCAACCCAACAGATTGGGGTTGTGGTACATTAAGTTAGTAGGTAATCAATTAAGCTGTGAATTAATGTCTTAGCAGGTTAAGCAATTGATATTCATTTTGCAGGCTTGCCTTTCTGTAACAAAAACGATTCTTTTTTCCCTTTATTGTGATGCATTTGGTTAACTAATGTCTATTCCTTTGCTTTCAAGATTTTGCTCTTCTACTTTTGATTGTGAAAAGTGATAGATGAATGGACTCCAAATTCATTTGGTTAACTAAATGTCTATTACTTTTTTGATTGTGAAAAGATTTTGTTACAGTTACTGTGATACTGTATGGATCATTGAACCTGATTTAGGCCAACATGACGATGTGCAACCTTGTCCTATTCAATTTCCGGTCAATGCAACAAGTTGCCATGTCTCTTGACTTAGGATTTTGGTTTACAAAACATGTTGCCTACTTGCCTCAAAGAATCCATCACCAATTGTCTCGCATAACACTCTGTCCTCTGCTCTTTAACTCATATAACAAACACGGACAGACAGATAAAATAATAGAGAATGATAAATCAGACTGACAGGTTCATAAATCTGGAGTTCCATATCATAAATCTGGAGTTCCATATAGTCTTTTTCGTCAACAGAAGAATTTCATGCTTCCTCGATATGGATTGGCTATCAGAATATCATCATCATCGCATCCAGAACAAAATCCTACTCGTGATGCTGATGCTGTTGGAGTAGGACGGGAAGACCCTTCTCAGGCCTAGGACCTGGGAGATATATTATCTTTTCATCAGGAATTCGTTTTCTGAATCTAAATTTTGACACTACATTGTACGTGAATACGAGCATAACAAATTTGGCGAAGTCCTTTCCAGGACACATTTGAGTCCCTCCACCAAAAGGTACATAGCTGCTTGGTAGCATCCCGTCTCGATCGAATCTTTCGGGATCAAAAGTCTCCGGGTTCTGGAAACACTTGGGATCTTTGTTTGATGTAAATGGACTCTAAAGAATCTGAAACACATAAATAAGGTTGAATTTTCACCATGTTTAAATTTCAATTATGTTAAATTGATGAACACTATGTAGAAAAATTGCATTTATTTATTTATTTTTTTTGAATTGGTAAATTGCATTAATTATGCACAACTCATTCACCAAATTCTTCTGTATTACAAAGAATTTACTGAATCTCATTATGGCAATAAGGCTCTCTATCTCAATCGTAAAGTATGCGATTTGACTATTTGAGGAACAGATGAAGACATGAAAAAGAAAAAAAAAAAACACAATATTCACCACACACATTTTAAATTGGTTACCTTCCATCCTTTTGGAATTGTGTAGCCTGCAAAGTTGAGGTCAATTTTGGCCTCTCTGAAAGTCCCAAAGGTAGGAGGTATTAGCCTCATTGCTTCACATATCACATTCCAAGAGTATTTCATCTGTTGCACATCTTCCCAATTCAACTTCTCTTGCGGAGATTTGGATTTGGCAATGTTCCTATGTTCTATCCCAGAAAACAAAAATTAATTTTCAGAATAGCAACACACACATATCATATAGAGTGCAAAGCCAAAAGGCTTTCAATTTTCGAAATTTATATAGCTCTCCATCTTTGTAGGTTAATGTATTTCTTTCCAAATCACCATTAATTCTAGATAAATAAATGTTATTGTCACATGATTTTTAATCTCTATATTCTACTCTGCCAGTCATCTGAAAAAAAGAGTGAAAGCAAGCGAAAAATTATCTCTGTAAAGAGCATCATACACCTGAGGAAGCTCAGAGAGGTACTTGAAGGTGGTGGTGAGGGCGGCTGTGATCCCTTCATAACTTGGAAGTAAAAAGCTGATAAGATTATTGACGATTTCCATGTCTGACTTGAAATGGTCTTTTCCCTCCAACAACATTCGAGACAGTATGTCCTCAAAACCTGATCCAGCCTTTTCCCTTTCCTTCAACTTTGGAATCATCTTTTTCCTAGCCTCCACAATCTTCAACAGCTCCAATTTCAGCTTTTTCCCTTCTTTAATTGAACGATTAAAAGGTGTCCCTGGTAAATTAATCGGCACGGCTAATAATCCCGGCATCGTACGTTTGAAGAGCTCAGAAACTATCCCTACTTCACCAGGATATTCTAAGCCTAAAAGTAACTTGCAAGCCATTGAAAGCACATATTTTTGCGTCGAAGCATAAACCGTGACTTCCGGTAAACGGTAACCAATCCGAGTTTAGATATTCGCGAGCCATGGAATCCACAATCGGTATGTAATGTTTTAAAACATCGTACCTCAGGATTTCATGAATGAAACCACGACCTTTCGTGTATGATTCTCTGTTTAAGCGGCCGTTTGAATCTAACGAATCGAACAGTTTCGCAACCGGATATGGGAAGAACGGAAGAATGAAGTCTGAGCCGCTGAAGAATGCGAATTTGTTACCAGGTGGTCCACAAACGACGACCATTTTTTCTCCGAACAAGGAAGTTTTGAATACTTGTGCAGAGTATTTTTTCATTCTCTGCGCGATGAATTTTTCGGGTCCAAGAATGCTGAAACCGATGGTTTCTCCAATTATCAGATACCCGGTTGAACCCGGTGGGACGTTTTGATTATTATTAGAGTAACGCCTGTTGAGGAAAACTATGAACAATGACACCATTAAAATGACTATGAGAGTGAAAAAGTAAAGAGAAACGGCATCCATGATTGTTTTCTAAATTATTTTTTTTTCACATGAGAGATGTTGCTAGAGAAGATGAGCTCTGAGAGTGAGAAATGAAATTCTTTGGAGTGTAATTAAATTGGTGCAGTGAATACAATCCTCCCAAAACATCATAGGGAATGTTGATTTAACTTAAGAAAAAAAATCCAAAGGGTAATAAATGATGGTATTAAAGTTTAGTAGTTACAAAACAATAAAAAGTCAAAGACTCACTGTCACAAGATATAGCACAATAAATGCAAGTGTTTTGGCGTTGTATTGCCCAATGTCCGCTGCTATATTCATCCCAAAGGTCATTTCCCTTGCAATGGAGGTTAAAGTTGAAACCCAGGGGGATCTAGTAGCTCTGTTAAATGTTCTTCTGAAATTCCGGGATATATTAAGATTTGACTTTAGATGATGCACAAAATTTGTGGCATCCTTAACTACTTTCACTCTTGTGAAGAACTCCTTCATCATCACCAAAGATACTTTGTCACCTGTCACCATTCATCTGAACAACATTAAACTCAGGAGATAGTTTTCGGAAGTCAATGAGAATCACCTTTCAAGTCCGAGATTACACTCTTAATTCTGTCAATGCACTTTTCACAATTACAGACTCCGCCAACCTCTAACCTCAGCAGGCACTTGTCACAATTTGTGATCCACTCACATCCATAAGATTGATCCTTCCTGTCATTTCTGATCCACTTAAAACTTCCACGGCATTTGTTGTTCAGCCAGAAGAAAAAACCATAAGCGTCATTAGCATTTGGAATCACTTTGTTTCTTCTAGGACATATGTGCTCCAACCATATGCAATGAATGTGGACATGCGCGACGTCTTTTTCTTCGGATGTGAATGATCATAGGACGTATGGAGATGTTCAAAGTTCAAACTCTTGGCCAGGATTTCGATCAAGGAACATTGGAACAGAAAGTTGAGGATCGTCGATTAAATTATATTGACTCACAACTCGACGAACGAAAACAAACAGAAAACTGATTTTCGTCGACTTTTTAATCCGGTACATTATATCGACGATAAAGTCGACGAAAAAAAATGAGGTCCACCGACTTTAACGTCGGGTTTATCATCTCGACAAAAAAAGTTGACGAACAGCATAAACCAAAATATTAAGGTATGCCGACTGGGGCGTCGGGATCAATAGCTTGATGTCTAAGTCGACGACCAGAAATAAACAAAAAAAAAGTGAGGTTTGGGGACTAGGTCACCGAGTTCTTAATCTCGATATCTAAGTCAATGAAACAAATAAAAAATGACCAACTTGCATTCTGTCATCTTTGATTGTCAATATATCATACATCAAATTTATTTTTATCCTCTGGATCATCGAGCACTTCATCTTAACCGTTAAACTGGCATATGCTCGTTATCTTGAATCTCAATACATATTAGTGGACTATAAAACTTTTAAATATCAAGTTGAGTTTTGGTGAATCAGCCATTGGCGTCTTTACCCTTGATATATATATAAGTTGACTAAAATTCTTAAACATCAACTTGAGTTTTGGCAACAAAGTTATCAGAATGATGGCACCAAATCTGGAAGTGATTCCGTTCTCCCCCTCATTTGGTCAATACAGATTGCCATAAGGACTTCTTATTGCATCAATCGTCCACAATGAAAATTCAAAACAGGACTTGGATAATGGCAGCTAATGCCGCCATGGGCTAAGCAGTTTAAAGTCTTTCGTATCTTTAGACAAGGCATGATTTGCTTTCATGTATTGCATAACACTCTTCCCTTACAACAAGAGTACAAAAGTTTTTGAACCAAAAGTTCTTGCAATTTGCACACGTGTTTCAGCTAGCTCTACTTGTTCTAAAAACAATACCAAAGTACTGTAATATGCGTCAATCCATAGTGTCTAGCTTAATTTCTTTGATAAAAATTACACAAGTATATCATTCTCAGTGTTGTTGAAGTAGCACTTGAAGGCCATTTTCAGGTCTAGGACCTGAGATGTATACAATCTTCTCATCAGGATTCAGTTTTTTGAAGTTAAATTTTGTCACCACGTTATACATGTATACCAGCATCAGGAATTTGGCGAAATCTTTTCCAGGGCACATCTGAGTTCCTCCACCGAATGGTGCAAAGCTGCTCGGTTGTAACACATCGCGATCATGCCTTTGGGGATCAAAAGTCTCTGGATTTTCAAAGTACTGAGGATCTTTGTTTGTAGTAAATGGACTCCAAAGAATCTGAAACACATTAGCTAGGAACTTCTCATCATTTCTCAATGTGAAACTAACGAGAAAAAAACACATTAATCATCCAAAATCGTCGTGTATATTACAAATCATTAAGAAGGGCTTTAGTACTATCATTTTACCTTCCACCCTCTTGGAATTGTGTACCCTGCAAACTTGAGGTCAATTTTAGCCTCTCTGAAAGTCCCGAAGCTAGGTGGTACAAGCCTCATAGCTTCACGTACCACGTTCCAAGAATATTTCATTTGTAGCACATCTTCCCAATTCAGCGTCTCTTCTGGAGATTTTCCCTTGGCAATGTTCAGATGTTCTACAAAAATAAATAAATAAATAAATAAATAAAAATGATTCATCCTGATTTAAAAAAAAAAATTGAATGGTCCCAGCAAAAATCAAACCCTCGACCTCCTAGTAAACCACCACGAGGAATTAATCAGGACAAAGCGAAAAGAATTAAACGTACCATTGTAAACGGCATCGTACACATGAGGAAGTTCGGCGAGATAATTTAAGGTAACAGTGATGGCGGCTGTGATCCCTTCATAACTTGGAAGTAAAAAGCTGATAAGATTATTGACGATTTCCATGTCTGACTTGAAATGGTCTTTTCCCTCCAACAACATTCGAGACAGTATGTCCTCAAAACCTGATCCAGCCTTTTCCCTTTCCTTCAACTTTGGAATCATCTTTTTCCTAGCCTCCACAATCTTCAACAGCTCCAATTTCAGCTTTTTCCCTTCTTTAATTGAACGATTAAAAGGTGTCCCTGGTAAATTAATCGGCACGGCTAATAATCCCGGCATCGTACGTTTGAAGAGCTCAGAAACTATCCCTACTTCACCAGGATATTCTAAGCCTAAAAGTAACTTGCAAGCCATTGAAAGCACATATTTTTGCGTCGAAGCATAAACCGTGACTTCGGTAAACGGTAACCAATCCGAGTTTAGATATTCGCGAGCCATGGAATCCACAATCGGTATGTAATGTTTTAAAACATCGTACCTCAGGATTTCATGAATGAAACCACGACCTTTCGTGTATGATTCTCTGTTTAAGCGGCCGTTTGAATCTAACGAATCGAACAGTTTCGCGACCGGATATGGGAAGAACGGAAGAATGAAGTCTGAGCCGCTGAAGAATGCGAATTTGTTACCAGGTGGTCCACAAACGACGACCATTTTTTCTCCGAACAAGGAAGTTTTGAATACTTGTGCAGAGTATTTTTTCATTCTCTGCGCGATGAATTTTTCGGGTCCAAGAATGCTGAAACCGATGGTTTCTCCAATTATCAGATACCCGGTTGAACCCCGGTGGGACGTTTTGATTATTATTAGAGTAACGCCTGTTGAGGAAAACTATGAACAATGACACCATTAAAATGACTATGAGAGTGAAAAAGTAAAGAGAAACGGCATCCATGATTGTTTTCTAAATTATTTTTTTTTCACATGAGAGATGTTGCTAGAGAAGATGAGCTCTGAGAGTGAGAAATGAAATTCTTTGGAGTGTAATTAAATTGGTGCAGTGAATACAATCCTCCCAAAACATCATAGGGAATGTTGATTTAACTTAAGAAAAAAAATCCAAAGGGTAATAAATGATGGTATTAAAGTTTAGTAGTTACAAAACAATAAAAAGTCAAAGACTCACTGTCACAAGATATAGCACAATAAATGCAAGTGTTTTGGCGTTGTATTGCCCAATGTCCGCTGCTATATTCATCCCAAAGGTCATTTCCCTTGCAATGGAGGTTAAAGTTGAAACCCAGGGGGATCTAGTAGCTCTGTTAAATGTTCTTCTGAAATTCCGGGATATATTAAGATTTGACTTTAGATGATGCACAAAATTTGTGGCATCCTTAACTACTTTCACTCTTGTGAAGAACTCCTTCATCATCACCAAAGATACTTTGTCACCTGTCACCATTCATCTGAACAACATTAAACTCAGGAGATAGTTTTCGGAAGTCAATGAGAATCACCTTTCAAGTCCGAGATTACACTCTTAATTCTGTCAATGCACTTTTCACAATTACAGACTCCGCCAACCTCTAACCTCAGCAGGCACTTGTCACAATTTGTGATCCACTCACATCCATAAGATTGATCCTTCCTGTCATTTCTGATCCACTTAAAACTTCCACGGCATTTGTTGTTCAGCCAGAAGAAAAAACCATAAGCGTCATTAGCATTTGGAATCACTTTGTTTCTTCTAGGACATATGTGCTCCAACCATATGCAATGAATGTGGACATGCGCGACGTCTTTTTCTTCGGATGTGAATGATCATAGGACGTATGGAGATGTTCAAAGTTCAAACTCTTGGCCAGGATTTCGATCAAGGAACATTGGAACAGAAAGTTGAGGATCGTCGATTAAATTATATTGACTCACAACTCGACGAACGAAAACAAACAGAAAACTGATTTTCGTCGACTTTTTAATCCGGTACATTATATCGACGATAAAGTCGACGAAAAAAAATGAGGTCCACCGACTTTAACGTCGGGTTTATCATCTCGACAAAAAAAGTTGACGAACAGCATAAACCAAAATATTAAGGTATGCCGACTGGGGCGTCGGGATCAATAGCTTGATGTCTAAGTCGACGACCAGAAATAAACAAAAAAAAAGTGAGGTTTGGGGACTAGGTCACCGAGTTCTTAATCTCGATATCTAAGTCAATGAAACAAATAAAAAATGACCAACTTGCATTCTGTCATCTTTGATTGTCAATATATCATACATCAAATTTATTTTTATCCTCTGGATCATCGAGCACTTCATCTTAACCGTTAAACTGGCATATGCTCGTTATCTTGAATCTCAATACATATTAGTGGACTATAAAACTTTTAAATATCAAGTTGAGTTTTGGTGAATCAGCCATTGGCGTCTTTACCCTTGATATATATATAAGTTGACTAAAATTCTTAAACATCAACTTGAGTTTTGGCAACAAAGTTATCAGAATGATGGCACCAAATCTGGAAGTGATTCCGTTCTCCCCCTCATTTGGTCAATACAGATTGCCATAAGGACTTCTTATTGCATCAATCGTCCACAATGAAAATTCAAAACAGGACTTGGATAATGGCAGCTAATGCCGCCATGGGCTAAGCAGTTTAAAGTCTTTCGTATCTTTAGACAAGGCATGATTTGCTTTCATGTATTGCATAACACTCTTCCCTTACAACAAGAGTACAAAAGTTTTTGAACCAAAAGTTCTTGCAATTTGCACACGTGTTTCAGCTAGCTCTACTTGTTCTAAAAACAATACCAAAGTACTGTAATATGCGTCAATCCATAGTGTCTAGCTTAATTTCTTTGATAAAAATTACACAAGTATATCATTCTCAGTGTTGTTGAAGTAGCACTTGAAGGCCATTTTCAGGTCTAGGACCTGAGATGTATACAATCTTCTCATCAGGATTCAGTTTTTTGAAGTTAAATTTTGTCACCACGTTATACATGTATACCAGCATCAGGAATTTGGCGAAATCTTTTCCAGGGCACATCTGAGTTCCTCCACCGAATGGTGCAAAGCTGCTCGGTTGTAACACATCGCGATCATGCCTTTGGGGATCAAAAGTCTCTGGATTTTCAAAGTACTGAGGATCTTTGTTTGTAGTAAATGGACTCCAAAGAATCTGAAACACATTAGCTAGGAACTTCTCATCATTTCTCAATGTGAAACTAACGAGAAAAAAACACATTAATCATCCAAAATCGTCGTGTATATTACAAATCATTAAGAAGGGCTTTAGTACTATCATTTTACCTTCCACCCTCTTGGAATTGTGTACCCTGCAAACTTGAGGTCAATTTTAGCCTCTCTGAAAGTCCCGAAGCTAGGTGGTACAAGCCTCATAGCTTCACGTACCACGTTCCAAGAATATTTCATTTGTAGCACATCTTCCCAATTCAGCGTCTCTTCTGGAGATTTTCCCTTGGCAATGTTCAGATGTTCTACAAAAATAAATAAATAAATAAATAAATAAAAATGATTCATCCTGATTTAAAAAAAAAAATTGAATGGTCCCAGCAAAAATCAAACCCTCGACCTCCTAGTAAACCACCACGAGGAATTAATCAGGACAAAGCGAAAAGAATTAAACGTACCATTGTAAACGGCATCGTACACATGAGGAAGTTCGGCGAGATAATTTAAGGTAACAGTGATGGCGGCTGTGATCCCTTCATAACTTGGAAGTAAAAAGCTGATAAGATTATTGACGATCTCCATGTCTGACTTGAAATGGTCTTTTCCTTCCAATAACATTCGAGACAATATGTCCACAAAACCTGATCCCGCCTTTTCCTTTTCCTTTAACTCTGGAATCATCTTTTTCCTGGCCTCCACAATCTTCAACAGCTCCAATTTCAGCTTTTTGCCCTCTTTAATAGAACGATGGTAAGACGTCCCTGGAAAATTAATCGGAACCGAAAACAATCCAGGCATCGTTCGTTTGAAGAGCTCAGAAACAACTCGCACTTCATCAGGATTATCCAATCCCAGAAGCAACTTACAAGCAAGTGAAAGTACATACTTTTGGGTCGAGGGATAAACAGAGACTTGGTTAGATGAAGCCCAATCTTTGTTTAAATGTTCACGGGCCATGGAATCCATAATCGTAATGTAGTGTTTCAAAGCTTCGTACCTCATGATTTCATGAATAAAATGGCGGCCTTTGGTGTAAAACTCCTTGATTAAACGGCCATCTGAGTCCAACCAATCGAATAGCTTCGAAACAGGGTATGGAATCCAGGGGAGAAGGAAGTTGGAGCCGCTGAAGAAGGCGAATTTGTTGCCGGGCGACCCACAAACGACGGCGACTTTCTCCCCCAACATGGAGGTTTTGAATACTTCTTTGGAGTAGTTTTGCATTCTCTGGGTGATGAATTTTTCGGGTCCGGAGAGGCTGAAATCGAAGGTTTCCCCAATGACTGGGTACCCGATTGAACCCGGTGGGAGTTTTGGATTGTTGGTGCAACGCTTGTTGATAAAAGCAAGGAATGATGACACTGATAGAATGAGTAAGAGAGTGAAGAAGTAAAGAGAAATGAGATCCATGGTTGTTGGTTTTGTTTCTTCTTATTTTCCTGTGATGAACATTTATAGGGAGATGCAGGAGAAGATGGCCTGTACCAATAACAACCAATACAAAGAATACTTTTTATATCTTTGCATAAAATTATTTAACAAAGGAAACAAATCGTACCAAATGACAGAGGCAAAAATGCACTCTATCTGGATTCGCTGAATCAATTTGCTCTATCGTTTTCCATCGGTTTAATGAAATGTGCCATTAGATTTCATGAGCTGTTTAATCGTGAAATTGGTACGCTTTTTAAAGCTCTTTATTATGGGTTTTCTTGTGATAGTCATTCGTGGAACAAAAGTTCCAATCTTTGTACTACATTAGTATATCTCAATTGCTGTACAATGTATCTGATAATCGTAGCATTTCGATAAATCTGACCAAACCATATCAAATCCCTCTATTTAATAGTAGTATTAATAATCCATTATTGATGGTTATATTATCTTCTATTAAAAATCCAAGCTTGTCTCAATATTCTCTTAATACTATCAAAATTTCCTTTTAATACAATGCCAATATAGGAAACATATATAATTGATACATTGATTTGAAATACTTTATTGCTCCCAGCCCCGAATTGATCACTTCAAATATTTGGTTCTCAGTCTCCACCAATGTCAAAACTTTAAGTTCATGGAATCCTTTATTTTTACTTATTACTAAAGATACTATTAGGTGACACAATAAATGACAAACATTGGTGTACTGAATGTTTTTCACATGTAAGCTAAATTTTCAACCGAATCACAATAGACCTCCAGTAGAACAAGAAATTGTTATCAGATGGAGATTGTTAGCAACTTAGCATTTTCCCAAGTTTCTACTGTATTTACAAATATAATTAGGAGATGTGGTTTTATTTTATCCATTTTTTTTTTTTTTTGGCAGATAAGTAACAGGAAAAGAGACATGCAGAGAGCGATAGAGAATTAGATGAATGTCAATCTAAAAATTATTTGGTGTACTGTATACTTATTAATTACTAAATCATGAAATTATTGTCCAGTTTTAATTTTTAATTTTAGTACAATCGAATTAAACGTGAAAATCTAAATTGGGCAATGTTAGAAAATTAAAGAGTTGGACTAGAGAGCTGATCTCAACTTTGGGCCTGGTGTGGACGAATATTTTTGGGCCCCCAAAGAGTTTAGGACGAGTTGTATTAGTAGTCAAAGTCAAAGGCCGAATTGACGGAACAATTATATCCGACCCGTTGGAAGGGCCTGGAATATTTATTCGCTTAAAGTACCTTTGATTCCTCATTCTCTTTCACCTTCACGCCGAAAAGACAGAAAACTTGGGGGTAGAGAGTCCAGGCATTTGAGCAGCGTGAGCGAAGTTACTTGTCGGGAAAAATGGCGGACGATGATTATGAGATTGAGGAGTATGTCATAATTATCCACCGCTTTTCAACCTTTATTTTTAAACCTTTCAAGAATCGTTTGCCTAGCTTTTGCGCCGTCTGTTTTCTTGTTCTGTGTTTGTGCTTTGTTTTGAATTATCGCCGACATTGTTGATTCATCCATGCATGTCTGTTTTTGTTCCTTCTTAGTTTTAGTCAGTTCGTTAATTATGGCCTCAATTAGCTCGCCTGTTACAATTTGCTGATGCTGCTTTAGGGTTTTTCCCCCCTGAAATTAGGGTTTTTTCTGTTTTCTATGTTTGCTTTGAATTGAGTCATTTATTATCGTAGGGGGTTTCTCTCGCAGTTGATGCTTGAATTATCATGGGACTTTGCGTATTAGGGGCCTTTATTTGTTGCAATTGTTTTGTTTTATGATTTCAATTGTATTTTTGCTGAGCTTCTCATCAATTAGGGTACTCGTTTTTTGTTTGTTTTTTTTTTTCTTGGTTTAGAAATAGGGTACTCCTCAGCTTTTATTGCTGTTGTATATCTCATTGGTTTTCTATCTGTATAAGTAATTCTAGGGTTATGTCTTTTGTTATATTGCCTTTTTACTGATAAAATTTCTTCCAACTCAGATATGTAGAGGAACCTTTGGACCCTGAGCCGGATGTAAGATATTTTCCTTTCCATATCGGTAGTCATTTGTTAATTATGTGTTGGTTATTCTGAGGTTGAAATTTGTTAATTGTGGGGTATATGTTGCTCTTGGCAGGAAGGGGCTGAGATTGAGGAAGACAACAACAATGAGGACGGCCCCGATCCAATTATGGCCGAGGAGGATGAAAAGCAGGAAGAGGCTCAAGTTGATCGCCAAGCAAATCGAAAAACATCAAAATATATGACAAAATATGAACGTGCCCGCATTCTAGGAACTCGTGCACTTCAGATTAGGTAATTTTTTGCTTTGATGTTTGTTTAAGTAATGTTGATTTGTGAATGAGATGTGCTGAGTTTGTGCTTTGTTGAACAGCATGAATGCCCCTGTCATGGTTGAACTGGATGGTGAGACTGATCCACTTGAGGTAATACTTTTCAGTTCTTAACCAGGCAGTGTTACAATTTCGTCAAGGGTAGATGGGCCTGGCTAGTTCTTTGGGAAGGGATTTCCTAGTTTTGCAATTGGTAAAGAGGTTATATAGAGTACATTTTTGAGTTTCTGATGCCTGAAGCCTCTGGTTATCTCCTATATTCTCATTGGATAAGTTTGATGCCTGAACTTCTTATAACATCGGTCCAGTCATTCCCATACCAATTCCCCTGCTTGCTTCTGTTTCATCATTTTTGCAGCTTTTGTTTTCTATATGGTATAGGATGCAGATTGAGGTGTGAATACTGATTACCTTTTTGCATTCAAATGGTTTCCCAAGCCCTCACATTATCTATGGCGGATTAAGCACTTGTTTTGTATGCCGTCTGTATACTCCTGCGTTACAATTTTGTTTTACTTTGTTGTAGATTGCTATGAAGGAGCTCACTGAAAGGAAGATACCTTTCACCATTCGCCGTTATCTTCCTGATGGAAGGTTAGATAATGCGGCCATTTAATTTTCACCAAAAGTGGTTTGTGATGGTTTTGTTCAGGTCATAATTTACCCTTGTTAAAATTTGTTTTCGTTTATCCCTTTGCAGCTATGAAGATTGGGGAGTTGATGAGTTGATTGTGGAAGATTCATGGAAAAGACAAGTGGGAGGTGATTGAGAAAGATCGCGAGGTTCCTCTTATCCTCTATATTGGTAGTTGACTTTGAGTGGAAGCAGGAGTGGAATGCGCAGGATTTAGGGGGTTTTAAAATTTGTATATTTGGACATTGTGATTGTCTGCTGTATGGTAATAGACTGAAAACTACTATATTAGGATTATGGTCTATCTGATGAAGTATTTAAATCACTGCAGCTTGCTGGTACGACTTCTCCAGTGTGTTCATCACTTTATTGAGCCGGAGCGCAGAAATCTCTATTCCTAGTTTGGGCTGCAAATGTATTAAATTGCATTCTGTTGCTTTGAGCATTTGCTATTTTGTTCTGCATATCTGTATGAGTGCCGGAGAAGTAACTATTCCTGTATAGGATTAGATGCAGTGTTTCTCGGGCCGAATGAATGATGTGTTTCTTGGTCAGTGTATGTTGATATTTGGCATCATGGACTGTTTAACGGTAATCAGAACTTTTCATGCTGAGATACTTCCGGGTCCTAATTGTCACGTGATTCAGATATGTAATGGAGCTCAAGCGTAATTTATGTTCCTTAAATCAAACTTGTGTATGTTTATTACTACCTTGAAAAACTAGGAGGAATTTTTCGGACTCGAACTTGAATACCAACCACATAGACACTCACCTGTACACTTGGACTTGATAATTGGCTTCAGAATAAGACTCCGACTGAGATATTATTAGGCTGGATGTGGTGTTTGTTAGGATGTCTTTTCAGTACCAGTGTTCGTGGGACCGGCCAAGTTTTGACCTTACTCCATTTCTGCTAACGGTAAATGTAACTCGAGAGTGGATCTTTTTACATTTGTTCCTTGTCTTTTTTGTCTCGCCATTCACAGTGATATCAACAACACAACCAAAAGCACCGTTCTGTCAATCAGCAGTTCTCTATTGTTTGATTAATTTTTGTGGATGGATAAATAGAAGCCTCCTGAAACTTAACGAAAGCAGAGAGGAGAGAGAGCCATGAACCATCTAATTTTTTATCCTTTGTTTTTTTTTTTTTTAACTATAAATTACACAAATAAATTAAAAATTAAAAAACCTCAATTAATGACTAAAGCAACCGAAAAGGATGGGTGGAAGAGTAGATAGATTGCGTCATTATAAGTAAAGGGTTCAGATGTCCTTGGCTGCAACATCATCATCATGGATCATGGATGAGATGTTCTTCAATAAATTTGCAGGTAGAATCTCTACCCAAAAAGGTTCTGTGGACCCCTGAAACCCCGCCTTGTTTGCTTTTCTCACCCTATTCCAACAAATATAACATTAAAAAAAAGATGGTGGATTTCTCTTTTTTCTACGTATCTATCATCTCCAGGAGTCTTTCTTTATCATTATTATTATTTTTGGTCTTTAGCTATACAGTCTTTTGTTGTGTATATAGCGTTTTCCACGGCCCCAATTGAAAAGATATCTTGTTGGTAAATGGTTTTTAATCTCAAAGCCAAAAGCTTTGTGTTTTCTTACTGGTGTATTATACAGCTATGCTACAAAAAGGCAAGAAGCAGCTCTAAGCTCCCCACAGGCTGACTCTCCAGTGCTTCATTGAGAGATTTTAGGGAGTGAAAGAGCACAGCTCAGAGCCCTCTCATTTTCTCCCAAAAGGTAGCTTCTTTCTGTGTCTTCTAGTGTTTTTGCTCCTTCTTGAGTGCCTAATTATCTGGTCCAAGACTTCTATTCTCTTAATCTCTGCAAATTTGTCAACCCCCTTTTCTTTTTACTTTTCTCTTCTTTTTTTGTTTGGAAGATATATGAGGATCCTCACTTGTTTTGGTAGATGTGTACAGAATCTTGAATCGTTTGTATCCTTACTTACTGCATTGATATTTAACGAGCCCTGTTATTTTTTTGGTGCATTGCTTACTTTTGTTTATTTTTAGCCAGGCTTGATGATAAATTCACTCCTGTTTGTAATCTTGCTCTTTCCAATGAGGCTTTGATTTCGTCATTCCTGTTTCTGACTTAGATGATTCTTGATTGTTTGTTGGTATCCGTACTCTGTTTTACTTTGAGAGGTTTTGTTGCCTGCACTAAACTGTTTGATTCAGTAAACACAAAAAGTCTCAATGTTAGTTCATATGATTACCCTGAGAGTAGTTAAAGCTTTAGGTTACAAAGAAAAGTAGATGCTAGTATATTACTAGGGTACTACTTGATAATCTTACCTATGCAATTCCAAAGTGATCTTTAGAAGGGTCGCCTACTGGTTATCACTGATAACAAAAGCACAAGAATTGAAGATCATGGTGCGGTTTCCTTGACTGGTAATTGGGTATCTCTACTTGTTAGTTTGACTCTAAAGCCTGCATTGCATTAGTACATACTGGGTTATGCATGGAAGCAGTGCGATCAACTAAGCATGATGGTTCTGTTTTGTGGTTGTTGTACAGTGTAGCTCAGAGAAGTTAGGGACTTTACTCCAGTCAAGTCAATCTATCCTAATGTCCGAAGCCTTTGCAATGGATAACAGTGACATACAGAGTCTTTATTTCAGTGATAGAATCCCGGCCGAAATAGCAGAAAATATGAAAGAGCTTTTCCCTGATCACGGTGAACTTAGTTATGAAGAGGTGCTACTGGAACAGGTATTTCAGATTTCTTGTTCTATGATGGATTGTGATTGTGAAAAATGAATTTCCACAAATGACAATGTTGTGAGGTTTTTTTATCAATGTCTTCTTATCTGTATTTTATTCATTCAGGAAAGTGCTTATTATTATTATATTCAATCAAGTGGGCAAAACATGGCCACTTCCAGCAGCAGTCAACCCAGCATCAACAGGAATCCCTCACTAGTACAAGATGGTGAATCTTCAAACATTTCAGTTATTGAATCCCAGTTGGCATTGGACGAAGCTTTGGCCAGATCGTTACAGGAACTAGGTGAAGACTTTGAAGATTTATACTTGTCCGAGCATAGTGGTCACATAATTGGTAAGCTCATATGTCTCCAGATGTTAACATATTTTATTCTCTCAACAACATATTCTTATTCTAGTTTGTTCCACAACGGTATCTGTCATAAGAAAACTATATTGGATATGTGTCCGGAATCATTCCTCTGCTACAGAAAGATCCGAATAGAGATTTCAACATTTCCATTCATTTTCCTTCTTCCAGGAGGCCAAAATAAGAAAGAAATTATTTTTTTGGGTTCTTCCTGTTAATTTTGTCGTAGACTGATAGACAAGGGAGCTCATCATGAAGTGTGACAAACATTTTATGCTGGCTGCCACTGTTACAAAACCCTCCTTACTCTGGGTATGAACTAGAAACTTGGGGCTGGGAACCAACATAAGCTAGAGGGATTAGACAAGTGAGCCTCACAAGCTGAATTGTACTCATCTGTTTTCTAGTTCTTACTGCTTCAATAACATGTGTGAATGCATTTAAGTTCTCTTTATTGATTATTTCAAAGTTCAAATTATTTTTTAATGGTGACTTTACATCATTTGCAGAGAGCAGAGAGTCCATCCCAAGAGAAACGACACCTGTTAGAGTATGTAATCAAATTCTTTTCCTCCTACTTGCGTCACGTGGTTATACTGAAACTTATATATAATCATCGCTGAGAAATGCAGGTTACAACTCAGAATGTAAGGCAAGATGATATTGATCCAGATAATATGACTTATGAGGTAAATTTCCCAGATTTTCATCAGTGTTTTGGTGAATAGAAAGGCACTATCCCATGGTTCTCCTTTAATTGTTTTTCTTATCTTTTTTCCACCTTAAATGATCTGGTATGAGTGTATTGCCTAATTATTCCTGTAATCACATTGAAGAAGACATTGCAAACCTTATCGAGAAAAAAATGTAGATCAAGCAAATTTTACTTTTGCATAGATCATAAATGAATGTGATATGATCATGCCATCATTGTTTTGTGCAAATGGATGAGGTTTGATTTCATAGAGTATATTTGATGATATAGTAAAGTATCACAACTATAATTCTTATGAATGGGCTTAAAACATCATTAAGATAATGATTGTTTCTAAATAATCTTAAGGGCATTAATTCACTGAATTGTTGCAAACATATTTGAAGTTTAGTGATAAAAATATGCTGATGAATGTTGTCGATTTAGATTAGCTGTTCAGATGCAACCATATTGCACATGGATGTGATGTAGTTAAACTATTTAGGCTTCGAAACTCTCATCTTTTTATTTACTTGTATCGAAGAGTAGACTTAATAATACCTTTGGTTGATAAATAGGCTAGAATTAGTTGGGTGCCTTTTAGAGAATACTGAGTAGGAAGTGTTATAATGAACTGAAAGGCCAAGAACTTCCTCAAGAAATGCATATGCTGTCCTGGTAACATAAAGTAGCTAATCTGTATCAAGGATATCTGAGTTATAGTGTGCCACAACACCTTGCCCCTTTCCCCGTTCGCAAGGTAATCCATGATTCAGAAAGTTGGTTGATGAATGTTTTTCCTGATTATGTGCATTTTTGGTTGACTCGCTTCCTTTGTGTAGGAACTGCAAAGGTTAGGGGAAGCTGTTGGTCATCAGAGCAAAGGGCTTTCTGAAGATCTTATTTCTCGGCTACCTACCTTTAAGTTCAAAGATAAAACAGGGCTGTTCTTCAAGAAAAAAAACAAAGAGGAGTAAGGACCTTTCTTCTTTTACTTTTCCTTTGTTTCTTTTTTTGTGTGGAAATCAGTCAACAGATGTAGGTTGAAACCTGTCCACAATATTTGGTGATATTTCTTGGCTAGATCTACCAAGCAACTGATGATTGCTTATCCTCTTTGGTTGTTTTACGTAGGCATCTTAGCTGTGTGATATGTTGCTCGGAGTATAAAAATGGAGCTCGGTTGATTACTTTGCCTTGTGCACACCAATATCATGCAGAGTGTATCTCGCGTTGGTTGAAACAGAATAAAGTAAGATTCTATACTATCCTGCTTGTTTGATGCATTTAATCTCACTAATGCTGAGATGCTAAAAGGTGTTTGGTGGTTAATGTTAGATTGTTAATTGGATTGTTTTAGATTTCGTTTTGTTCTCTGTTGCCAATGTCTATGTCTGGAGATCTTGACACCAAATCTGTGTTCGATATTTATTTCTTTGCGAAACCATACTCATGGCAAGGCAATTAACCAATCATAATTAGACGAGGAGCACCTTCTTGCATTCTATTCGACTGTCGTTTTGAAGTTAATTTTTGACTTCCCAAGAAGCAACCTTTAGAGTTTGGAGGGCTGAGTTTTCAGAATGTGATGTTTTGTGAATAGAAGATGAACTTCAATGTCGATACAAAAAAGTTGAGAGATCTTTTGTAAACTCGACTAATTGGACTGGTATTTTTATTGGTAACTTGGAGAACCTATCCTTTATTAGTGCTCCTGTGAGGCACACTCTCATTGGGGTTGAATTAAACATGATAATTTTGTAATACTAGTGGTATAACGTTGTTGCAGTCCTGCCCTGTCTGTCAAGTGGAGGTCAGTGAAGAGTGATTTTGCAGAAATTGAGCAAACATCGGTGGAGTGGCAGATCACAGTGATACAACCACTATGGTTAGCTTTTCTCTTCTGGGAGAAATTCGCTAGCGATTGAAGCATGACTTCTAGAAGTCTGGCTGTGTAAAATGCTTTGTTATATCCTGCTTCTTTAGTGTAGATAATTAGGATGTGGATAAAAACACAAAAGTATTGGGGATTGCAAGATACCCAAGTATGGTTTGTAATTTGTGATTTTAGTTAGCCCCGTAAATTTGAATAGTGCAGATTTCAGATTTCTTCTACATTTTTTCTTTCTCCTTCTTCCCTCTTCTCCATTAATTGCTACCATAACGTGTGATGTAATTTGTCGGAGAGCATAATGTGGTTCGTCAATGCCACCTGATTCTTGCATTTATAGATAATTCCTTTGCTTTGGGACAATACTTTGTTTACTTTACACTGAATGAAGAAGAAGATTAAGAGTTGGCATGTTTTACACCATAGCATTTTATTCATTCGATCCCGACATTTCATGTGCCTCTGTGTCGGCATATTATTCCCCACCCCCACTTACAGCGTCGTCAATTAATTACTGAGCTCTTTTACACTATATATAGTGGACTATTAAAACCACAGTAGAATTAATTTCTAATTACTCTGAAAATTAACACCAACCAGAAACTCTGTGAAGTTAAAAAGTTAAAACTATAGTGAATTTTCGTTGGTATTTTACTTTATAGTCCAAGTCCTAAGGAGTAAACGACATTTTAACGTGAAATCTTGGAAGAAAATGACACCTCTGGAATAAATTCATATGCCTTGCATACAGGAATAAAACGACATTGTCTTTATTGGATATATTCTTAATCATACTAACCAAAAAAAAAAAAAAATTCTTGGTTATCTCATTTCTGGATTAGTCGAGCAGTGCATTCAAACAACTAGGGGTATAACATATCTTACTATATTAGAAACAAAAACCACACTTAAAAAGAGTATCACCATTTGTCATTTGACATTTTCACATCATAGTTTTAAAATAAATTTTTATTTACACATCAGTTTCCTAGACTTAAAAGTCAATTTTAGTCCAAATCCACCCCCACCTCCTATTTTCGCCAAAAGAAAAAACCACGACTTCATAAAAACCCAAATCCTCATTCTCTTCTCCACGACAATCGATTCCCTAATCAATCCCTTCTCCACAATAAAAAAGAAAAATAAATTCCTCATCAACCATCAATTAAGAGTGGTGAAATATACTCCTTTCCTATTAGCATGTTCAATCTTTTCATTAGTGATGATCAACTACATCCTAATCGGATAAAATTTCGACTTCAAAAAATGTTCACTTTACCTCTCTATATAAACACAAAAGAAAAAAAATTTCTCATTGATCTTGCTTCGGCCGTTGTGGTGGGCATTAGAGATATTAAAATTTAAATGTTTTTATATCCATAGATCATTTGTTCGGCTTTTATTATTTTTTTGTTTTTCCCGTTCAAGAATAGTGTTATTACTATTATTTTTATGCGTCTACCCGTTACAGTTACCGTAGCCGTTGCCAGGTAATATGATGTGATTTCTTATATGGTTAGTTAGCCTAGAATTTTTGTATGATTTTAGTTCTGTTTGGATTGAATTGATCAATTAGGTTTTTGTTACAAAGTGTGGTTTTTTTTTATTTTTTTTATATTTTATTCAATTAGAATGGTTTTCTTTTTTTAATTATGGAGTCTCAGTTTTTTTTGTATATGGTCAGTTATGAACTTTTTTTTTTCTTTGTTTAATTGCTTTTGATTTTGTTTCATACTCCCAATTGACCAATTATTATTATTATTTTTTGCAAATGAAGTGCGTTTTTTTTTTCTCTTTTTTTCTGTGTTCGGACTTTCAAGAATATACTTTTTGGATTTGGTTTTTGGACTTTTTTGAGTTACTCATCATATAAATAGTTCAGGTTGCTTCTTCTAACTAATTTATGGGGAAGCCTTTTATGAATTTGAGGTGGAGAGGGAAGGAATGATGTTTCTACGTTTATTTGTGCTTTTATATATCATTTTTGCCTAGAGGGAAAAAAAAATAATTTCTCAATTTTTCATGGGTTCCTTTACATATGCAAATTTACATTAATTTTCATTCTCATATTTGTGATCAACCAGTTTCAAAATCATATTTTTGATATTTTACTACCTATAAACCTTTGGAAGAAACAGTTCCAACAATTAAACGTATACCCTTCAGAGCAAGTTTACTACAAAAATATTATAAATCTCCAAAACTAAGAATTGATTTGGCAAGACAAACGAAGAACATCAATAAATCATCTTACTAATATTTAAATTTATTAAGATACTTTTATATTTTGTCTAACATTTACTTCAAGACATATATTTGATCAAGTTTATTTATATTTAATAAGTAACACTTTTAAAACATTTCTAAAATCTTCAAACATTTCTAAAACGTACCAGGCCAAATATAATTTTTTTTTTGTCAAACACAAACATTTCTATGATCACGTTTATAAAACATTTCTAAATTCTTCAAACATTTCTAAAATATATCGGGCCAAATACAAAAATTTTTTTCCAAATACAAACATTTCTAAAATCTACCGATATATTGGGCCAGGGTCGCACATTGCGCAATCAGACATCACTGGTATACTTATAAAAGGAGACACATAATTCAACTATTTCGTTGACAAATCACAGATATTAAAAACACACACACACATTTCACGTTTTAATACTCTTCCATTTTCTCTCCACTTTTATTTTATTGCATCTCCCTTTCCATTCATTCTAAGATCGATGAAAATAAAGCGCTCTCTTGTTTTTCCTTGTAAGAGTCTACACTGATTTGTCGAACAAACAGAAAAACAACGCTGTAGTTCACTCCATTAATTTCTAACAAATACTTCTTTTTTTTTCTCTATATATATACACATACTACGTGCATGGGGTCTAATTTTTCAGCCGATCATCAGGCAGCTGCTCCATCTTTAGCCCCAGAGAGTTCAGGCGGCGGTGCAACTCATCGGCTGCCGGTGGGATTAGCGGATTTACCGGAAAGTTGCGTGGCGTTGATACTTTCATATCTGGAACCATTGGAGATCTGCAGACTGGCAAGTGTGAATAGGAACTTCCGTCAGGCTTCGTCAGCTGACTGTGTTTGGGAACAAAAGCTGCCCCAAAATTATAAGATCCTGGTCACCAAGTTCTTCCAAAGTAGTCGGAGTATTATCCATGATCTCCATCAAGCTGATGATGATGCACATGATGAAGTACAAGTTTTAATTAGTACTAATAAGTTGGCAAAGAAGGATATCTATGCCGGGTTGTGTTGTCCTACTCGCTTCAATGGAGATACCATGGTAAGCAGTTCTTCCTAACTAACACCAGCCAGTGTATGTTAGCTAAGAAAGGATTTGCTTGATTTGATTTTTTTATTTATTTATTATTTTTTTGGGGGGGGGGGATTGAATATTTATTGTTAACATGTAGTGTAATAAAAAAAAGATTTTTATCACTATATCAAAATGAACGGCCGGACTGAAAATAATCAACCTCATTAAAAGTGTCGAATATTTTTTTATTTTTTATTTTCTGTGGAAGGAGGGAGCATATTGATGAGTGTGCATGGGGGCGCCATTTCAATGTGTGATCTCGCATAACAATACTGATAATGCATAAGTTATGGTGTAAGTACGTAAAATATGATGTGTGGGATGGATGATGATGCAGGAAGTTTGGATGGACAAGGTTGGCGGAGGATTGTGTGTTGCGATTTCATGGAAGGGTTTGAAAATCACGGGCATCTCTGATCGCAGATACTGGAATTTCATCTCCACCGACGATTCCAGGTTCACTATATTAATTAATTAATTAACTCTTTCCCCAGTTAATACATTTGTTTTGTTTAATTAGATATAAAGAGAGTAGACAAAGATGACTAACTTGCGGCCGAATGAAGCAACATTTATGTTATGTATCTTAGATAGGGTCTTATTAGGATACGGATAGGGATACATCGTAAGCATATATTCCTTGCCAGAAATATCTCAAAATGCAGTCGTCACATTGTTACAACTTGCAAGAAACTAACAACTCCTTTCACAAGTTCATTAGACTTCAGAGCTAAAATGAAGCTTTTAATTTTTTTATCTCCTCCTACGAATTACTTACGATACGAATTTTTACCCACAAAGAACTGATGGATCCCTAATCAACAAGGCATCCATGCAGTCGTTATTTAATACTGTACTTTTTGGACCTTCGATAAATAAATTATACACTAATAAATGTCGTATCTTGTTTAATTTCTTATGTTTGAAGCTATGAACGTGTGGACTACTTCCAAAAAAACTCATGTCCTAGCTACCTAGCTAGAGATGGATTTCAAACTTTAATAAAGATAGTTCATGTCGTTTAGTACTACTCCTCGGTCTATTTCATTAAGCAATCATTATATTCCGCGCATTATAAATATGGTCCAATTTTAGTGTCTTGTTTGAATGTTAATTACAATTATTTGATTGGACATATATATATATATATATATATATATATATATAATATGGTCGATATAATAATGCAGATTCGAAAAGATTGCATACCTAAAGCAAATATGGTGGCTAGAAGTAGAAGGCAACTTAGAATTAGAGTTTCCAGCCGGAACCTACAGCCTTTACTTCAGGATGCATTTGGGTAAAAACAGCTCCAAAAAGCTAGGCCGGAGGAGGGTTTGCATTAATGAGCAGGATGAAGTTCGTGGATGGGATGTAAAGCCGGTTCGATTCCATTTATCATCATCCTGCGGCCACCAAACCACCGCACAACATTACTTAGACCAACCTCCGGCGACGGCGGCCGGTGGCCAGTGGATAAACTACCGCGTGGGTGATTTTGTGGTTCATAACAAGGATAATCATCACGGTGGTGATCAACTTGATCACAAAACGAAGTTGAAGTTCTCGATGGCTCAGATAGATTGTACACACACTAAAGGTGGGCTTTGCTTGGATTGTGTGTTGATATATCCCACCCACACCAAACTGGTTGGGACAATTAGGGAATTATTTATTAGTACATAGCTACTACCCATTAATTTCGATTCATTTTATTTGTTTTTTTTTTTTGAAAAATATATATAGTAATTGTGAGTTACAATCACGAGAGAGCTTAAATAAATTGTGTATATGTCAATCAATAGTGCCATGCTAATGAAATTCGTTTGTTTTGTATCTCCGTCTAATTAAGCAAGTGAAGAGATGTAGTGCGATGGATGTGTTAAAATATTGTAATACGTACATTACAATAATATTAAAAAAATGAGGTAAAATTACTTTCACACTTTCTAAATATATATCCAAAACAAAAATGTAATCATAATTCATGAAATCAAATTGTTATAATTAGTACGGAAAGTGTGTAATAATTGGTAACCTCCATCTAACAAAAATAGATGGTTTTGTTGTGGACTTGAAGGCCGAGTTGACAGCTTATCCACTGCAGAAAAGCCCATAGAGTTGAAACAGGCCAATGAGAAAGAGAGCCCGTGGTTTTTATCTGCACAGGCGGACCCACACTTACTACGTGTCGTAGAAATACACGAACACGAGCTCACAGAAAATCAGTAAGACTGGGTGGCGCTTTTGAATTGAAGGAATATAAGAGTTTGTGCTGCTGCTGCTTTTTTGTTTAGTTCTAGTTCTATCGCTTTGCCTCCTTCGAAGCTTCCAACTTCCAGGTCCGATGATTTCTACACAAAGCAGCATATGACAGGTCATCGTTAGTTAGTTTTGGACTATGCGTTTATGTTTCTATCTGTTCTTGTTAAAATTTCGAGAATTTCATTTGTCGTATTATTATGCATATGACTGGATTAGTCCCTTTTTCCTTGTTCCTTTAGGTTTTTTTGGTTCAAGTAGTTAGTTGTTGTTCTGTTTTGTCTTCCCTGCGGGGAAAATGTTACGGAGATGTTCCTGTTTCCTTTCCATCCAGTTGTACTTCTTTTTCCGGTCGTCTGAGGTTTCTTACATTCTTATCCCTTCTTCCTTATTACTATTAAGGTATATATGTGCTTTGCTTATTCACTTTTCAGTCTGTGGGTACTAAAATTTGGAAACTAAAATTGGGTATGTATGTTTACCAACTGTTTTCTGGGTTCTAATAGGCACAAATAGACTGCTTACTTCTCCTGAAAAGGTGTTTCTCCTTGTGTATTCATGGTGTTCTTTGTTGTTGATATAGGTTTTCTTCAACTGTTTGAGAATTGCCATTGACTTGGGAGATAATTGGGTTGGTTGAGTTGTATTTGGGGTAAAATGGAGGATGGCAGAGATTTCATAGACTGCCTCGGTTCCGATGTCTCCATGAAGATCCTTATGTGTTTAGAGGACCCTTCTGATCTTCTCCGTGTTAGTGCTGTCTCCAGTTCTTGGCGGCAATTCGGTGAGCTTTCCAACTTCTCTCTTTGTAATAGCTCTGCTTCATTTCCTCAACCTTTAGCTCCATCGAACACTCGTGGTTTTCCCTTATGATAAAGTTAGAATGTTTAGATGGATAACATACAGAATTTCATTTCCATGAGTTATATATTGATCAACTGGTTGAAGCACAAGAATGTAAGAACTTTTCTGTCTAGAAATGATCCTGAGTCCATACCAGGAAGAAAAAAATGATAGAATTTTGAAGCAAAGGATAATATAAAGGAAACAACCATATCGAATGGTGATAGTCCCAATGCCTTAATTAGCTTATATCCTGGAGTGGCTGTAACTGGGAATACAATTGTTTCTGGGAACAGTAGTTCCTCTAGAAATGTGAAATGTCCTAGCTTTTTGTTATGGCTCAAATTGTTGATTTCTGTAACCAGCCATAGGCAAATTCGGTTCTAGTTTCTTTGCCCTGAATGCCTTTGATGCATGTCCCATTTCTGACCACAATCAGACCACCTTTATGGTTTTGAAACAGAACATGGTATAATTACATTTAGCATTCGTTTTCAAACGCTTCTGCCTGGTTGGTGATAAATGAAGAAGAGATCTTCAACTGTTTTTCCCTTTGTTTGATGTTGCAGTAGTTGCAAATGGATTATGTAAGCTGCTCTGTTTGAAGTTGTTCCCCGAGATGTCGGATGTGTGTTGTGATATCGATAGCAGTCAAATTATCGAACCTGTTGAGTTCAGATCCTATGAGTCAATGGAATGGTCATGTCTGAAACGCGAACATAAGGTCTATGCCTTTTTGGCTCGAGGTCTTGACTCCTCTGTAAGGAACGATTGCTTGCTTAAGGCTATAAGTGCATCAAGCACCGATAATTATCCTGATGAAAGCATTCAGAATACGTTAACATCCAACGATAGGATTGGTCAGAGAGCTTCATACTGGTCAAGCAAGGGTGAGAGTGATGCTACAGTTCCTGAGACCTTGACGTATAATTTGATGGCTAAAATGTGCTTGGTAACTGAAATTCATATACAACCGTTTAAAGGTTGGTGCTACAAAGTATTTCATATTTGCAGTGACTTCCAATTTATTGCGATTCTACTGAGCTCAAAACTTGTCTACATTATCAGCGTATTTTCAGTTTGGTTTCCCCATATACTCAGCAAAGTCTGTAAGGTTTTTGATGGGGCATTCTACTTGTAACATGGAACCAAAAAGTGGTAGAGATGAGTCATCGTCCTCTCAAGAATCACCTCATGAAAAGTATGTGTGGACATACATTTCCCCAGAGTTTTTTATGGCTCAGGTAAGATGCGTTTGGTGTTCTGTTTACTGAAAGGAATTATGTCAAAACACAAGTTGCCTTAGTTCAAACCTTTTTTCTGATGCCTCCCTATAACTCTAAATTCCTAATTAAATGGAAGGACAAAAGTTTTCTATGCACCTCAAGATAAGTTTCTGGTGGTGTAACTATCAAGATCCTAACGTAGGTTTGCTCACTTACTGTGGATGTAGGAGAACCGCTTGCAAAAATTCAAGCTGCCAAAACCTGTTCTGTGCATTGGTGGAATTTTGCAGGTTCAACTCTTGGGGAGAGTGCAGAGACAAGAAATGGATGGTCTCTACTATATGTGGTGAGCTCCTCTGGTGGTGATCCTCCTATAACCTGCATTAACGTCTGTAACTGTCTTTTGCGCACTTCTATCATTCTTAGGATCATATATTCTAGTTTTATGAAACATTATACATACTGGGAATATATTTATGACTGGCTTTTGATTTTTCAGTATTGCCCACGTTCAAGTTGTTGGACGGCCTCTTTCATCGGCTTTCGATGTTGAGATATTGGATCGATCAGGAAAATGCAAGTTGAGGCACTTATCTGAACAGCACCTTCATTCGTGTGAGAAGCAATCTCCTCAGGGGGAGAAGTTGAGTCCTTCAAGCTTTCACACGTTCAGTGCTAGAGTGAGAGGATGGGAACAAATGATACTTAACACGTTATTCCGTGATAGAGCTGAAGAGCTTCATGATAGTGATCTCGACCTTGATGAGGACGCGGATTATGAGATTTGATTCTTCTATTAGCCTCAAATTCTGTCTTTCATCTAACCTTCTCGAGGTCATGTCTGAATGCCCCCCTCTTCTCTCTTTACTTTTACTTTTTGGCGGAGGGAAGTTATATTTTACTATCCGCACCACGTTCTGGCTTTTCTTCAAGAGTTGGAACCTCTAATCTAAGATGTTTGAGGAATTGACTGCTACAGCCGTGAGGCAGATTTCCCCTTTCTGTGATCTTTTGCACATTGGTACAAAATGAAAAGGGCACGTCTGGCCTTCCGTGAGAATTGGAAGAAGTGCAATTGCAGGTTGCGAGGAGGAGACAAAGATAAATCTCCAAATGGCGAATAATTGTAAATCACTCTAAATTTTGGCCCAATGTTCTTAAATCTGTCTAGATAATACACTTGTGAAAATAAGACGTCAGAGTAAAAGCTAGATATGATCACAATCCATTACGGAGAGCTGTGAAAATGTTGAGATGAGGGATCCAAGCCTACTGTACAAACATATTTTCAGGGACGAAAAAAAAAAGAAAAAAAAAGCACATCTTTCTGAAACAAATTACATTAAAGTTAAGCCTTCCAATCAAAATTCATGTTATCATCAAGGTCACTGCCAAGAAAACTACTCTCTGGGAAGTCGTTTGGTATGTCAGGTACCATTTCTTCTGACAAGTGAAGACCCTGAGGTAGTTCCATAGATTTCTGGTTGAAGCTACTATTTCCTCCAGGCCCAGAGGATTCACTGTTTGAAGCGCCTTTGAAACTATTGCTTCTACTTGGAGCCGGTCCCATAACACTACTAGGTCCATTTCCAGTTGTAGCACTTCCTCCGGAAGTCCTAGTACCACCATATAGAACTCCGTCCCTCGACATGTTCCCACCACCACTATTGTTAAGGGTTTGTTGTTGGATTCCACTTCCACTGCTGTTATTACTCATATCCTGGGTATGTTGCTGCATCATCTGCTGCTGTAGTGTCTGACTTCGTTGCGCAGCATTGTTTTGCTGAAGTAAAGCTAGCCGCTGCTGCAGCGGCTGCTGCTGCTGTGGATGGCCACCTGACAATCCACCAGGTAATGAACTCTGCATGCTTCCTGGGGCACCACCTGAAGGCCCTTGCATTGGGGAAGAAGGAACCTGATTAGGACTACTGAAAGAGGGGGATGGCTCCTGCTGAAGTGAACTGCGGCTTGAGTTCATTGAGTTCTGTCTTGAGAGCAAATTTTGGTAGTTTGTTAATTCAAGGGCCGCTTGAGCAGACCCGCTTAGTGCACCTCTCCCAACCATGGGCTGATTACCGCCTAACTGCAGTCCAGGATGCATAGACATGAGCTTATTAATTGCGCTTGGGTCAGTAGGTAGACCTTGAATACCTCCTCCCAGCTGATCCATTTCCTGCATCTTCTGTGGCTGAAGCTTGACTGCACTAACATGTCGGGGAAAATTTTTCAAGCCCTCTGCACATGATGCATCAGATTAATTTTCAGTTCATAAAATGTGTTTTGTAATTCATGTCCTGCGACCTAAAAGAAGTGTAGAAAAAACTCTTCAAGGTCAAGAAGTCAAAATGAAGATTAATTACCAACTGGGCCAACTTTATTTTCTCTGCAGAAGTCCATTAGGTCTTTCATGCTATTGACAACCTCAGAAATCTGACAAAAGAAGAAAACCTCATAAACATGAGAAGCAGGAAGCAAATATTATGGTTTACATCAGTTCAATATTATCTTGGTACATGCCTGTAAGCACCGCACATATCTCTTTGAAAATCCCAAGTCATTCAGAGACTGCAAATCAACACTCCGTGCAAGTTGACGACCAGCTGTCACAACCCTAGAATCCATTTGAATGATAAGTTTAGGAGTATAGAAGAAGGCGCCAAAGGTCTATATAGTCAATTTCCAATTAGTGACGTAGAATTGTCAGCATGTCTTGATACATTCACTTTACACCAAAAGCATTTATCCAAATACAATTAGTCACAACCTATTGTCCTGTGCTAACATCAAAACCAAAGAAGAGGGACAAGAACCAACCAAAAGGAAACAAAAACAAGAGACCGCCAAGCGTTAAAAGTGGTAATTGGTACCATTTCAAGTTAGATAAAATTTAACAAGAAAGAGTGTCCAACAAAATGAAATGAAAAAAAGAAAGACATCTGAGAAGCATAATATACTCACATATTACTGTTTGTCTGCAAATCTTGCTGAGAGACTCCATCTGCCCCACTTTTTGATATGGTGCTTTGACATTTCTGGGCAACCTGTAGCAATTGAGTCACCTGCAAAGGGCAGAAATTATATATCATAAACGTCGTTTGCTTAAAGTTCCATAACTAAGAAAGACAAGTACCACCAACAATTAACAAGGTTACTGCAAAATCTGACAACTTGGACAGCAATAAAATATATATCTAACAGAGGAAAGACAAAATCACTGCCAGTGCATTAACAGACAAGAACCATCTAAAATCGACACAGTTTTATAACTACAAGAACATTCAATTGATGAAGCAATTTCTGAAATAAGCTCAGAATCCAACTCCTCTAGAAGATTATTTTAGTCAGAACTCAGAAGGGATAGAAGCGCACGCAAGAGAGAGCATACATATCTGAATCAAGAATTAATACACAATGAACAAATGAGATGATCTCTTCAACATTAAGCTGAATCAAGAACTTGATATATGTTAAAATGTCTACCTGTGGCTGAACCAATCTACGAGGGAGCAACTCCTCATGACGCCTCGCACAAAATTCCCATGATAATATCTGACAAAGAAATGAGAAGAGTTGGCCTCTTAAGATTAACATAGCAGGAACTAGGTATTAGAGCCGGACACAATTATCCTCCAAGTTTACCTTCAAATCAGGGGCAAAGATAATACGAAGCTGTCCCTCGCGAACAACCCGTAGTTGCTCATATACGCTTTCTTGTACTGCCTTAACATATTCCAGCATCATTATCCCAGAAGAGAATCTGCATTCACGCGGCAAGTCCAAAAACAAAAGCTCATCGATGACCCCACTTCCAAATTTGATTTCATTTAGTCGGGGAAGCACTTCAAAAGTTGCCTCTGAAAATGAAGCAAAGACATAAGCAACGATTGATGCAACATATCTTCTGACTCTCACGTAAAGAGTGTTTATGAGAGTACAGTTAAGCAAGTCCACTGCCAAAACAATTGGCTAACTAATATAATCAATACAGTTCATGGTTGCAGAGTAGAAAATTCTGAAACATCAAAAAGAAGAGGGGGGTGTTTAAATGTGATACTTACCAAATCCTCTTCCAGACTTTGACCCACAAATATCACATTGCCATGCATCCTGACATAGAAACACAAACAGGAAGAAATTAAGAACATAAAAACATTTTCTTGTGGGAGGTAATTACAAATGGAAGTAACAAGTACCATGGCAGCCTGGGGAAATACTCCTAAAGAATGATGTCCAACATTTTCATACAATGACAAGCACCACCGCTTTTTAGCACGCGGGGAGTAATATTCAGCAACAAACTTTCTCCAATAAGCAATGCTATTGTCCTGCAAATAAAAGTTCCGGAAGTCATAACCATACACCTATACATGAATCACTAAGCATACTAACACACATCCATGCATTTCAAGCTAGAAGGACAAATAAGCCGAGTAGCTTTGAGCATCTCACTTACTTGGGGTCTTTGCCGCTGGTGATATAAGTATTGCATTAGTCTGCGAGAACAGACCCCACCATCATAGGGCCGCTTGTTAGCAGATACAGGCTGCGCCCCCTGTTGTTGAAGCTGCTGTCTTAACTGCAATTGCTGCTGCTGCTGCTGCTGTTGCTGCAGTAGCTGCGCCCTCTGAATTGGAGGCATAGATTGTAACAGCTGTTGCTGCTGCCTTAACCTTTGTTGCTGAATTAATGCTTGCAACTGAGAATTAGGGTTCTGCAGATGCGCTAATTCTTGTCTGTGCAAATATTGCTGAAGCACTTGCTTTTGGAGGATATCTTCCTGCTTAATGTCCAAACGGGGTTTCTTCTGTAATTGTGATGTATAGCCAGGGTCCTGAATTAACGATCCCGGCAGTTGTGAACCATTTGGAAGTTGAACTTGCCCTCCACGTGGGGTTGGCAAGGATGTGGCAGTAGAAGCTCCTTGATGCTGCTGATTGTGCCGTGATGGTTGGGAATTTGGGTCTTGACTGGAGTTTGGCTGGATCACAGATGATCCATCAACAACTGAGGAGCCAGATATGCTTATATTGTTGGATGAAAACGACATGGGTGATGCAGGCAACCTCATGTAGGACTCTGTATTGATGCTTGCACTCCTCTGGAGATGAGGACCTCCTGAGAGAGCTGAATTTGCATCAGTGACTAATGAGCTAGCAGCGACACTGGGACCTGAGCTAGGAACGCTGTTCAAGACTGTATTACTAACATCACCTGAAATTGTACCTAGATTGGCACATCCATTTCCAGGCATTGTTATTGATGAGTTCCCCATAGATGAACTTAAATTAGAGTTAGCCACAGCTTGAGAAGGACCATCTCCTGGAAAAAAGATGCCAGAAGCAGGAGAATGTGCCATTCCACCAGCCACCCGATTAGGTGCCATGGGAGGCACCAATGCCCGGTGGCCCTGTTCCAAGTAACTATCCAGTGCCAGCCGTTTATGATATGATACACAAATCTAAACTAGCACCCAGCTTTGAGTGGAAGCTGGTGCAATTCCAAAACAAAATAAAAAATTTACACCAACAAGACAATGTAAATAATCCCTCCTCACCAACAGCATCTAGCAGGAAAACGAGTCCATTGGGTAGCTAAACTCACAAGTGGCAAACAAAACAATATGACCGATCCGAACCAATTTCATGCAATCCCTGCAGCCCCTGGAATGATTTGAAAGGGAGAAACCACCAAAAATATGTATCATCAACATAGCAACATAACAAACAAAATAATATAGAAAAAACAACATAATTAAGGAACGCCTCGAAGAAGAACAAGTAGAGGAAAGCAAGTTTCCAAGATTCAAAATGATGAAAACCCTCGATAATCCCCAATTGCACCAAATAAACCCTAATGCTATGAAAGCCAACTACAAGAAACAACATCATTCACGACCAAAGCCTGTCACTTTTCCCACCCAAAACCGCAAAATAGGAAATCACCAAGCCCCTAACTGAGTAATTAAGTTTTTAATCGTCAAAAGAAATGAACAAATTAACGGGCACAGCTCAAAGACCAATCAAAATTAAAAATCATTAGGAGAAAGCCGTAAACAACTACCTATTAAAAGCAACATAACTCGATTCCCGTCACCTCTAACATCATTTCAATCTACACAAACACAGTTCAAACCTTAGATCGAAAACAAAGGAAAGTGGGAGGGAAAAAAAAATAAAAATTAGCAGACGAAAAACTAATATCAAAAAACGTGAACTTTACAGTTGAGCTTACACAGTCGTATCAGTACAAAAGAACAACAGGAATTCAAAATCAAAATTGCACACTGGAAAATAAGTGAAACAATGAAGAAATGAGAATAAATTAATCGGAAAAGAAAAGGAAGCCAGAAATGAAGAACTACGAACCTCGCTATGAAAAGGAGAGAGAAAGAGAGAGAGAGATGGAAAAAAAGGAAAAAGATTTTTGTTGTAGAAGATCGAGTAAATAAATAATAATAATAATAATAATAATAATAATACGGGGGGCTTTGGATCAGGTTTATATACCTAGCGGGAATTTGTAGAGGGGAGTGACCGGCTGCACCGGTAGCCCGTTGAGGAACCGGCTGTAGGCGGTGGATGCAAGGACACGCGTCGAGCTAGTGATTGGGTTCATGGAGTCGGTAGCAAGATCGCGCGGTGGCGACGTGAGGTCGTCGCGGTTGATGGGTTACGTGGCGAGATCGTAGTGGGTGTTCATTTTTTTGATTTGATTTACGAGGAGTCCCATTGTATGCTTAAAGGGGAGCATTTATCCCGTAAACCAATGCCCACCTCCTCTGTCTCCAGTTAATCACTCTGTTTAATCTTGTTTGTTTTTTATTAAGAAACAAAAAAAAAAGAAGATTAACCGGCTTACTGACTTGATCAACTCGGTTTTCGCTAAAAGCAGCTTCCATTGATGATTTTTTACACTCTTTTATTTTGTTGTTTGTTTTTCAAATTCATTTGTGTGTATAAAAGTGCATCGACATTATCAATATTACAAAATAGCTCCGCGTGTGTTTCGTTATTGTTATCTGTTCTTCTATTTTACTGCGTACTCGAAGATTTATTTCGAATATGAATTAACAATAGTTACATTTCCTACTATTGAATTAATACTCCTAAGTACATAAAAATATTCAAATTCATAACATCAAGTTACTCTTTGTGTTTCTTCTTTTATTCAGTGGTTTTTAATTTGTAAAATGTATAAAATTATAAGTTATGGTTATACGGCCATTGAAAAATAAAACTCCTTTAGTATGTGTCAACACTCAACACAGTTATATTAGTATTTATTTGCAGGTATATGTTTTTTTTTTTAATCTCTACTATTTGTTTGAATTTTATCCTGTATACTCTAGCAAATCAAGAAAATCACAAGGGAATTATAAATTATAACAGATTCTCAAACACAGTGCATTTTGTTGTCTTGTAATAATATTCCTAGATATATATTACACACAAAAAAAAAGATGGCAAATTTATGATGTGTTCGAAAGTTTATTAACTTATCGATAAAACTAATAAGTATTAATATGATAGATTTTACCATATATAAATAAAAAAAAATTATAGTTGAATTTAAGAATGAGTAAAATAATAATGACTCGTTTTTAAAAGAAAAATAATCACACAAAAAGAAATGTTTAATGTTGCTACTCAGTGACCGTTCACATTTTATATTTTAAGTTATAGAAAAGACTTTGGATGCATTTGGGGAAATTAAAGCTTCTCGGTTGGAACTGAGTATTAATTTCGCTTAATGGTCATAATTAAAGGTCCTTTTTTGTGTTGTTTTGGGGGGTTTGATGGGTTCTACACCAAAAGCCCATGAATTGATGCCTAATCATCATAAATAAATTAAAATATGAATTGATGCCTAATCATCATAAATTAGCTCACTTTCTTAAGAGGCCTCCATTATTATATGAAAGCGGCCACAAAAGCCCAACCGAACAAAAGTCCATTCCCCGTTTGAGCTTGTCTTATGGCCCCAATTACTCCAGCAAGGCCAGGCATTTCATTCAGAAGTTGCTTTACATCAGGATTCAGGGCATCCACTTTCCATGACAAAGTTTGTATTGTAGAAGGATAAAATTTAAAAGAAATGGGATAAATGGGTTTGTTTGATCTGATGCCATCCTTGATCCAGTTTAATTTTACCCACTTTTGTAGACCTGGCTCAGACTTAATAGCCCATGGCTGAATCTGTTCGATGGAGCCTGGTGCTTCTACTATCCGACCCAACTTTTGTTTTCCATCACTTTGCAGAAGCATTCCTGTTTAATGTTGAGGATTTCAATTTTATACTACTAATTATTTGGTGAGAATTGGAATTTTTTTCTACAGAGATAATTGGAAAGTTTTTATTGCCTTTCTTTAAATTGATGATTATACACGTGAGAGGTAACATGGTTAATCATGAAGGTTGCTTACGTTCTCAAATAGTTAGCAGAATTGTATAGTAAATTGACTCAACTCTATAATGGAAAGATTTTAGTCTCTCTCTTTTTCTTTTTTTTTAAGTATATCATTTTATCACACCAAAAAATTAAAAAGGGGAAAGGTTAATTTGTTCAGTAAGAAGTGCGGTTGAAATCCAGCAATCACACGAATGGCAAGGAGGGGTGCCATTCAATAATTTTGTGTCTGATTTATGGCTGGGTCAGTTGAAGTGATCTCGTGTGTAAAACAACATTAAATTTAATATAAGATTGGAAGACACATTAATATTTTTTTTTAATTATTATTCTTGAAAAGTCATATAATCTCAATTCTCACAAGTAATTTCACTTCAAAACAAATTGACGATGAAAAGAATAGCACATGGACAATTATATATTGGTTTGAAGTGTTTCAATTTTCCGTGAAAATTAACTTGAGACTTTTCGATTCATTTTAGCAATTAAATATGTGAGTATATATAACTTGGTTTCTTGATAGTACGAGGACATTTGCCTTTGATATGGTAATGTACGATCGGAGTAAACAAACGATACGATCTAAAAGTTGTAAGGTTTTAAAAAAAAAATTCACCCTTAGGAGTTAATTAGGACACAGCCTAGAGAACCTAAGTCCTTGACCTCCGGTAATTGGTCCTTCCTTCCAAAAATAATGCATGGTTGTTAACGTGTTAGTTTTGTGCTTGGATTAATTAATGAATCTACCTCGGATCCGGAGTATTACGTACTAGGAAATCTATCAACGGAGTACAGATTGTCATGATCACAAATGGACGATGATTTTCACACTAAATTAATTGAAGAAGTAATCAGCTTGCCAAGTTACAATTAATTAATTACGTGTCTCCAAAAATACAGGCGTTGAGAGTAGGTACTGAAAAAAAAAAAAAAAAAAACCTCGAAACGGCTTAAAAACAAGTGGACTGTCTCCCCATCAACTTACAAACCATCTTGGGATTTCGGGAAATAAACAGGGCGATTTAGATTATTCGTGTAATCAAAGTCTAAGATGATTGTCCGTCGCCGAAGAATAAAAAATGAATCCAAGATGACATTCAATAACATTGAAAATACATACGAACTTAAATGAGTTTTTTTTTTTTAAATAGAAATCAAATGAGTTGGTGCTATTGATTATTCATAGAGTTTGGAGAGTTTCCGTGTAATATTAGTTGGGAAAACTACATTTAGCAAAACACAATTCAATCTTCCATCTCGCACATATATAATTAAAAAAAAAAAGGTAATGCAATAAGGATAAAAATGAAAAATCGATTAAATGGATTTCTTTATTTTCCGTTGGAATCGCGGAATTAATATTAAAAAAAAAAAAGAACACTCACCTTCGATAAAAATAAAAACAAAACAAAAAAACTTTTTAAAAAATAGACTTGGAGTCTTGGACTAGGAGCCACTAGGTGTGGATTGTGGAATTGATGACCCAAGAATCAGGCATTCGCGTATCAACAAGTGGACAGTCGCAAATGTATAGCCATAAACCCCACCCCTAACGCCGGATTACAATTTTTAATATGTAATAAGTGTTTATTTTTGTTTTCAAGTTCAAAGGGAAATTTTAATACATTGCAAAGAGTATTTATCATGTACATAGTCATTTCTTGTTGGGTTTCTCTTCAAATTCCTAAGCCCATGATAGTGACTGTTGGGTCTACTTGAGTCCAATAAGTTATTCTGGTTTTTGTGTTGGTTTAAATATAAATAGGATGTGTTTGTACTAGAATCATTTGAGAGGAAAGTAAAATGTAGCCACTTGAGATAGAGTTTGAGTGAGGGGAGAAGAAAATAAAATTGAGTTGAGTTGAGAGTCCTTTTCTTATTTTCTACTCTTTGTAGATGGTGTTTTTCCTGTCCAGAGCACATAGTGGGGTAAATGCGAAAAACACTTTGTGAGAGTGTAAGGGTAGAATCGAGTGAGAGAGACATAGTGTGTTGAGAGAGGTTTCACATATGTATATTCTTCTATTCTTATACTAGTAGATGTGTTACCGTTCTGTGGACGTAAATCTATGAGAGATCGAACCATGTAATTTTGTGTTGTACTTCTTGATGTGTTTGCTTGGTTGTTTACTTTTGATCCGCTGCATGTGTTGTTGAGTGAGTAAACTTCCAGCAATTTGCACCTTGAGATCCTCTAGTTCGCTAGGGGACATACGAAAAGGCACCTTCGCGACCGGTTTCGCCCCGTCCACCAACTCCATAGCATGATCAATCTCCCTCCTTGGTGGAAGACACTTGGGCAATTCGTCGGGCATAACATCCTTGAACTCAACAAGGACCCGTTCTATGGGAGGCGGGATCCGTTCCTCCTTTGCCGGCTCCTCTGTGCATGGTTCCTCCTCAAACACCATGGTGGCAAAAGTGTGTTCACCACGTTTTAGCCCCTTGTTCAGTTGGGAAGGGCTAATCTAGTTCTCCCGCCTAAACTTTACAACACAAGCCTTCTCGCCTTGAAGGATCACTATCGTGTCGTTGCTAGGCACGATCATCGGCTTCACCTGGTCTAAAAACTCCATGCCAAATGTAAGACCATAGTTAGCCATAGGTACAATGGAGAAATTAGTCATAGATGACCAGTTGCCGATTTTAAGAGGCACGTCCCTTGGTTCGCCCACAAGACCCGTCTATTCGCCGTTCACGCCCTTGAAATGGCCTTCGCTAGGCCTCCACGTTACTCCAAGTGAACGGGCTACCTCCTTCGTGAGATAACTCTTGTCGGTTCCCCGAGTCTAGCATGCCCTATCTAGACCCATTTGTGAATGACGCCTCCATGTAAAGATGGCCTTGACGTGCCTTGGCCTTGGTATGCACGGCGTCTAGCCGTTTCATGCAAGCGTCTCGTTTCTCCTCTTCTTGGCACAACCCTTGCGCCAATGCTGCCAACTTCGAACGGGAAGGGCAATCCCGTGCCATATGTGCTCCCCCGCACAAGAAACACCCTTGGAACTTCTTTGGCTTGTCCCTTTTGGTCTCCTTGCTCGAAGACGGCTTTGAAGAGTCGGCTGCCGGCTTAGCGTGTGCGGAAGATTTTCCCTTGTCTCCCCACCTTTGCCTTGGAACGACTTCTTGCCCTTGTCCTTGAAGTTATCCTTCTTTTGGAACTCTAGAAGTGACTCGGCCACCTTTAACGCCCGATCAATGTCTTGGACTTCCCTCCGTTGTAGTCCAAACTTAGCCCAACGGTTGAAACCATTCATGAAAGTAAAGAACGCCTCATTGGGCGGGAGATCCGGGATTTCAAGCATCAAGTCCGAAAACTCCTTATTGTATTCCCCGATTTGGCCTTTCCTATAGTGCAAACAACGAAACTTGACCCAGGCTTCGTCCTCCGCATCCACGGCTAGGAAGTATTTCCTAAACTCTTCCTTAAAAGAGTTCCACGTGGTAAAGACCGGGTCTCCATCTCCCACGGGTTTCATCGTACGTTTTCACCAATTCAAAGCACTATCTTTAAGATAAAGAGAGGCTTGGAAGAGTCTTACCGAGTCGTCGACGAGATTCATAGCCCCAAAGTACCGTTCCATGTGGTAGAGAAAGTTCTTTACGTCCCTCAAATGACGGCTGCCCTTGTATTCGTCCGGCTTGGGCCTTTCAAGCCTTGGAACCATCCCCACGGCCCTGGTTGTCCCTTGCACGGCTATGACATCAAGCCGTGCCTTAAGACGCGCCGATTCTGCCCGAGAAGCCTCCAACTCACCCATGAATCACTTAACGTCGTCTTTGAGGGCGGCAACACGAGCAAGACTTTCCTCTTTCGACTTATTGCAACGTTCCACCACCTCCTTGAGTGTCCCTAGCATGTCGTCCTTCATTTACTACATGACCTCTTACAATTCACCCGCGAATCACTCCATGCGAGCTTCGACGACCCCCGCTACTGCCTCGGGGTGCTCGTCCCAATGGTCTTAGTGGTCGGCCACAGCAAGCTCTAGCTCGGCAAACCATTTCTCGAATTCCACCATCGGCTCTCTAACGACCAACTTCTCCTTGCGGTTTCCCTTGCGAGTAGCCCTCTCTAACTCGCGAGAAACGTGATCACTTTCAAGCTCCGACCCTTGAACGATCTCCGAAGGGTTGGACATAGCTTATGCACGAAAGTAAACCAACAAACGGAAGCGTAGACGGTGTCGCACACCAAGTATCGAGCCGAACCTCTGATATCAATTGTTACGGGCTTACTTTTTCTAAAGTAATGGCCGTGCGACACTAAAATAACCAACGATGAACGTGCTAGCTCAGCCTTGACCCCTTAAACGTGCAAAGCTATGCAAGAGGACTTAAGAACGTAGGCAAAGGAAAGCTTAAGAAAGCTTGGAAATGAAAGAACAAAGTAGGCACAAGAGAGCTTGAAGTATACTTGAGAATTCTTACTCAAAGCTAGGATGCTTTACAAATAAGGGGGCATAGGGTATTTATAGGCTAAGTTCCCAATTCTAAGAGAATTCTAGAGAATTCTATACAAAGAAATAAAATAATAACTTCTAGGTAATTCAATGAATAAAATATTCTAAGTATACAATTCTATAGAATTCCACATGTCTCTAGAAACCTCCAGCACGTTTCTAGTCCGTTCCAGTAAAGCTCGGGAAGCTTCCCTACATTTCCAGCAATGTCCGGATTTTTTTAGAGAATTTCAAATCTGTATAGACTTGACCAGAGAATTCCAATAAGCCCTAACTCAACCCGTCCCTTGTCTCGTCTAAGGAAACGACCCAACTAACCAGCAAACCACACAAATACGTGGGAAAAGACGGCTGACCCATGAAACGGGAAGCAGCCGTGACACGTGTGGATGGA